TACTGAAATTCCATCTCAGGTTTTTACATTCCTTCAGTCTTTTAAGTATGGTCAAATAATGCATTACAAGAATTCCGATGATTGTGGCCGGGTATCCATTTAATCGCGTTGATTTCTATTAACAGAAACTCCCTGTGTGTTATGTAACATGGAAGTGTCTCATTAGAATACTCAGACAGTGCTCATCACTTCATCACTGCTTATCTTCAAAATCTGCGTTTTAATATTGATAAATCTAGAATCTCAAAATAGTTATGGTAGACATTAAATAATTAATCACACTATATCCAGGTTTTCTGTGAAGCTGTGCTCCTTTTGAACAACATAGTTTGAGTTTCTTCGGAAATGTATCATAGATACTTCATAATAGCAGTGTCTCGAATCACTTGATTTCATGGAGGGATTCGCTCTTTCCAATATAAGCACGTACAAATCAATTGACACGATTGATTCCGAGGCTCACTACAACTTAGATCTAACAATACCAGTTCTCCTTTTTCGACTGACGTCATCCCATTTGCGAAGATATTTCCAGACTTGAAGCACAATTGCTACAGCTGTCATCACCACACCCATCGATGAACCGCTTCATTCGCTACTCAATAAACATCAAACTGCTTCAATGTAAACCTTCATCCAACAGTAGTTCTGCATTTTTTCGCGAAAACAAAACAAAATCAGCATTAATCAATCCTCAAGGCTCACTTACATCAACTCTTTTAACGAGACAATCGCTGCGTTCATTAGCACTTTCAAGGTGAGGACGCAGTTCGCGCTCAATGCAGGAGCGGAGGACGCGAAGTCGGTCCGCCTCCTCTGCTGCCCGGGCCTCCTTTGCCTCGGTTTGGCGTGCCGCGAACTCCGCTGTCTGCTGCTGCAATGCCCGAATCTCCGCTTGCAGCTCCGTTACTCGCTCCGTTTCCGCCGTTGACTCGCGCTGAGCTGAGGCACTAATTAACGCTGCTGTCAGTTCTTTCACTTTAGTCTTGTGAGGTAGGGAGAGATACAAACAGAGGCAGATGAGAAGGCTTGAAAATATGTAAACAGCAAACTGTTTCGCCTGCAGTTTTGTGGTAAATGTCCAAACAACCCATCTAGTCTCCTCATTGTTGCCAACCTCATCAAATGGCGATGTTTGTGATATATTTATGCTAGTGAATTGGTATTAGAGACACTATGAATGCCCAAAATCTTTTAGAATGGAATTAAATCAAGCAGTGGAAATATTGGTGCTTATTTCTTACATCATGAACTCAAGAAGAGACCTCTAAACGTCAAGACAAACTCATAAGTATCATCATTAGCCGTTACGGCAGATTCACTGAATCCAATGGCTACTATCCTACCTCAATGTCATCACCGATATTCAAATTTTAAAGAATACTCGTAAATAAAGAAAAGCGCCAGTTATTTGGCTGAACCATTGGTCGAAACAACAAACTGTCACACTGTATACCCTGCATCGGTAAGACAGTCCCTTTGCGAAAGCCATTATTTGTGTATCAAGATCTGTGTAAACTGGTTCACATGACGAGTAATACCACTTATGACAACCGGTTAACTTGATTTGTCTACTTGTAGGGGTGAAGATATTGTTTTATCAATTGCTAAGATGAGAGGGAATAAAATTTTACCCAGAAAATTAACGTATAAGCTTTGTAATAAATCTATGGAAAATAAGACTGATGTTAACTTGGGTTTGCCCAGATGATCCACGGATCCAGTCAGCGGAAATGGATGTGGTTATCATAAACCACTCCAATATGGCTGGATTAAACTCTTCATTCTGCCTAATAATAGTGCATCAGCAGCTGATTGATTAGAATGGTATGGTCAAAGAGAAAAAAAACTTATGCAAGCAGCCTTTGGACGTGGGTAAATTATTTTATGAGAGTGATGCACGCCTCAGCTGTACACGGTCCAAAACAAACACGTCGTTTTTCGGTTCACTTATCAGGTTACCTAAAAGTTCGTGGGATTTTCAGCATAGCCCACTGTAATCACTTGCTCTGACTTGTACGAGTTTGTAAAATGTCTGCAATTATTTGCATGCAAGCATTATAAGGCACAGGTACGTGTCTGTCAATCTATCTGCACGACAATCTTACTGTGCTCTACTGTTTTGAACTCTCTCGCATATACGAATGGGTCAGTTAATACAAATGTAATTTGAGCCTCCCCCCTCGGTGAGCTGAGCTTAACTCGATTCCAATGCTGTCAAAACTAAATTTTCGTCAAATTTATTGTCCAGCATTTGGAAAAGATTCAGCAGCAGAGCACCTCACCTAGAAATGATTCAAATAATGCAAGAGATTATTTTGATGATTTGCTCATAGGCGCGTCCCCTTTAAAAAGAACCTCAATTCGCCATAGTAACTAATTGTGCCACAATTGTTTAAAGCGAATCCAAGGCTAAAGTGACAAGAACGACTTTCAGCCACGCGTGCTATTAGTAATGAAAGGATTTGTTTATACCCACATTGACTGTAATGGGGAAGTTGTGAAAACTACCAAGTAAACGAGTTCCACGGATGTTAACAAATAGCAAATGGTTTCACAGACTACCTTATTGTTTTTCAATTCTTTAACATAAAAATAAGGGATTGTTTATCAGGAAATCACTTTGGTCTTTCTAATTTTGTTGAACGACCAAACGTATCGTTGGTTATCCCTGAACGATCCTCTCGCCACCTATCGTGCCATTCTAAACATTGCACAACCTCATACCCACAAGACTATGCTTGCTTTGTGTGTGGAGCACTCCAAATGCAATTGTCCAGCACCAGTTTCTTGTGGAAAGGGGAACAATTACATCCGCATTCTATCTATTCAATATAATATAACCTGAACGCATTAAAAAAGAATCCGTTCTTCTGAAAAGCATGAGTCGGAATGAGGTCCTACCCTTGCAAGCTATCAAATCAAAAGACTCGTGAGGTGTGCACCCTTGGATCGGGTGGAAATGCTGCCTCACTTCATCCTGCTTATTACCATTATGTTTCTCTAAGCGATAAGCATCAACTTTTCTTGGATTCAGCAGTAGGCAGTTGTGTGTGAAATGAAAAATTTTGAAATAAAAATGAGACAGAAACGGGGACATTTTGTGCCTCATTGAGAGAGAATTGCGACCACAATGTGTATTACGTCAGTAGAAGAAGTATCTTAAATGGTCTTTGGAGTTATTATTTAATTACAAAATCACAGCACCATTTGGTTACTCCCACCACCATTGCACGAGAGACAGCCTGAGTTTGAGCGCTTAGGTGGCTAGAATTGGCCTTTAAAATCGCTGCTGAGGTGAAGGCTAGATGCTTTGGCTCGTTAATTTAAAATCAGGATCTACCGCCTTTTAAATCATAATCTAGAGACACCAATAAATAATGAGATGGTTATAAAAATAAAACTGATTTTTTGGGACTAGGCAGGTATTAAGTAGATGAGATGGTACTGACTTTTTTCTTACAAACGAGGTCGTATTTTCCTGTCTCTTCAGTAAAGCAGTTAACGCTTCAATATCTTCATGTACTTGTATTTACTAAAAAATTATATTGTGACCTAGGCTGCTGCTTGAGTGTGTGTGTGTGTGTGCACACGAATCTTCGTAAAATAGGGCTGTGTGACTTAGTGCACGTGAGCACCTCTTTGAGGTCACAAGAAATAAGGTTGAATTTTAGCCTTTTTTCTTCCTCCGCATGAGAATTTGAGTATCTAGAAGTACACAGATGCGGGGATAGAAGCGATATATCAAAGTCATGTCGTAAAAAGTACATCGATGTTTTTACTTCTAAGAAGCAGTGAAAAATAAAACTGCCTGCCATTACAATCTGAAATCAGTATTGTCGCCGAAACGCTTTTGTTCCTGTTCATTACGTAGATTTCTCAACGCGCTACTGTTCACGATTACCACAAGATTTTTTACTCTACCACTTGAAGTCGTTTCCCAAGTAAGCATTTCTTGTTTCTGTGTTAAAAAAATGGCTTTACTGGGGAGGAGGATGCATGTACGGAACTGATTAACATTTAGCTAGCTGGGCAGTACGTTGTAACGTTTATCTGTTGTGGGTGATTTTAGGAAAAACACTTGCAAGGGAAAACTTTGTAACAAAAGGAAGCGGTCAAGCCTATTTCTACAACACACGCTAGACATGTGTGCAGAATGAAACAACACCATTGTTCACAGTTTTCAAGATGATCAAACAAACTTTCTCTTAGACATATGACAACATTAAGTATATTTTACTCTTTACATAAGATCATTTCATTAAAAAATCCTTACTAGGTTTGTCAATTAAAAAGTGACACCACTGAAAAGTTAAAGGTCGAGTGAAAAGTTGTCATGTGATTAACCGTATTAGAGAGCGGAAATATGATAGTGTAACCACACCTTCAAATCAGCGATAAATCGTAACTGAATACCAGATATTTGGAGCGCGTGTCAAGCAAAACAATGTCGAGATCTTCTTTTTTAATGGGCACGCTTAACGTCACTTTCTTTCGTCCCTACCCTGAATGCTAGAAGTGAATTCCATGTTTTATATGTGATATATTTTTAAGTGAAAAAAAAGATTTTTTTGAATTATATTCAAACTATCAATTGAAAGTTGTTGTTATTCAAGACTCTAACTTGTGGCTTAGTTTCTAAACCTGAAAAGGCAACAAGTCCGAAATAATTCAATAAGGTCAACTGCAATATGATATTAAGAGCTGAATTTAACATGATGTATAATAGTTCCAAAAAAGACACAACCCTAATTTATACGAAACCTTGCATATTAATGCGTTGAGATACCCTGGGGTTTGTGAAAGCATTCTTATTTAATTCACAGAAAATACACTCTCTAGAATGCAAGTGCCGTTTAATCGGAACAGAGCCGATTCTTCTCCAGGCTTTTATGTAACTGTTTATACAATCGGAGAAACCTTTCAGCAAATAGAATTGGTTAAGCAGCGAACACCATTAGTGTGTATCCACCACATGTTTATAAACTTTTTTTACTTATTTATATAAAGTAAACACTTCTGCGTAGCCTCACATTTGCTTTTTCGTATTCACGCTGCCAATTCTCGGAGTTGTCGCAAGCGTCTGAAGTGGCTTGTTTATGACGTGAGATCTCCTGCTCCAAACCAATGATAACACCTTTCAGATGATCATTTTCAATCTCGAGTTCCTCTACACGCGTAGTCAGAGCTTCACACCTGCGCTTCGTGCAGACCAGGAGGGATTCGGTGTTAAGGGATTTCTCTGTCATCTTCTTCAGGACCTCTTGTGTTTCCTCTCGGTTCCGTTCGGCTGAAAAAAGAAAGGAAATGAAATTTCTTAAACAGCAGCAGCAACAAAGCTGGAAAGATCTAGATAAAAGAGGGTATCCCTTTTACTTACAAATATTTACCTTTAAACTGTTTTCATTATCACAACGCAGGCACCCGATATAGGTAAAAATAAAGCAATCAGATAAAATAAGGATGGAAATCTATGTCACTCGGATTAGATGCGATTGGAAGCAGGGGAAAGGAGTAGGGAGAAGTAAACCCCCTTTCCTAAACTATCAAAGGCAGGTAAGATAGAGCACATTTAGACTTCTGTGACTTTCTCGAACAGAAGGTAAAATATCTGCAGAGTCTATATTTATTTAGCAGTAGATTTCGAGGGAATAATATTGATGGGTAATGGAGGCGCACTTACCCTCAGCAAATTGCCCGCGCAACTGCTCCACTATAGTGGCCAAATTAGTGGCGCGGGCGGCGTGTCGTGAAGCCTTCTGCTGCGCCTCTGCCAGCAGCTCCGCCGAGTGCGCCGCCGAAGCAGCGCTCTGTGCCTCCTTCTCTCGCAGTCTCTCCGCTGCCGCTCTCGCCTCTGCCGCCATCTGCGTTGATGTCTGCAAGGCGGTGATGGAAAAAATTGTGGTATTTTGGACTTTTAGTGCTCAGAATAGACTTCTATATTTAGTTTGTAGTTCCGTACTGCTTGTAGCAGCGTGGATATCTATTATTCGACACAATCCACTAGGCGCGCATGGACAATCGGATGATTCGATTCTAGGACCTACTGAAGAACTGTTGCGCACATTTCCACCGTCATCTGCAAGGCTGGAGGGGAGGGTAAAGGGTATCCCGGATAGAAAAAATACTTCTAAGATCTTTGAAATCTTTGAAGTCTACATAAGTATAAAAGACTAAGTGAAATTGTTTTTAAGTACTCATGGAACCCATCGCCTAAGTCTTCAAGACTAGTAAGTACGCTCAAAAAGGTTGAAGAAAATTTAGCTTGTGCTTCCCTAGATGAATGCACAAATTGAAAAATTTTCAGGAACCCACAACGACCTTGCAGTATTGGCACAGTATTTAGAAAAGAGTTAGTTTAATAGCACTATTGATATGTTTTGGTAAAATTGCATATGAACAATATATTGATGGACGGTTTGATCAATCACTGGTTCCCCACCTTGACCTTTGAGCGCAGATCGAGAAGTTCTGCTTGATGAGAGTCTCTTTGCCTTTGCACCTTATTCAATTCATCTGTAATTGACTTGATCGACGATTCATGCTCACGCTGAACACTGATTAGCTAAAATAGCGTATTTCATTTTTAATAGAAGGGAGCACAAAGTACATAGAACAACATAGAATAATCTGATTGCCAAGAAAAGTGTCTTGGTTATACGTATAGTGAGTAGGGGTCCCACATATTTTGCTATTCAAAAATCTGATCTGAGATTATTAATGGGTTTTATCTATTAACAAGGCACCCATCCAAAATCACTCACTTCCTTAGCTTGCATTTCATCCCCAAAATAAAAACAAATAATCGTGCATTCTGTGCATTGATAATAGGCAACTGGATATTTCAAAAATCCAAAAAGGGGACTTGGTGATGTAGTAATTAGAATCTAAGTACAAATAGGCAAAAGTAGAAAATGTTCGACGATTTATACTTTAAGACAGTAAGAGATCCAAACCGATTTTTTTATAGGGGTAATCATGCATAGAAGCGGTCTACTTTTTCTTTCGTTCGTTGACTTTCGGCTTCAAAGTGCCTGCGGATATGTTCGAGTTCCGCAGTAAGTCGGGAAATCGTCTCTTTTGCCTCCGTTAGTCGAGATGAATGCGAATCTATGACCGTGTGCGCCTGACATTCGGCAAGTTCTAAGCGGTTTAGTATACCACACTTCAGTTGGGAGATATGTTTTGCGTATTTGGCCACTTTTTCCTCCAGGCATTCTCCACGCTCTTCAGCCCTGGTATTACGGAGAATAGTTATACTTCGAAACCATCTACCAAGTAAGTTATGGCAATTTAATCCAAGGATATACTCTAAATTTCGGTATTAAAGCTCTTAAGGTATTTCTTTGAGATTTAAGACTTGAGCTCGTCAGGTTTCATTTCATTGGCGAAATAACAGCTAATTTGATAGAAATTACCATGGTTGCACACTTAGGCAAATCACGGATTCACTATACAATGTAACCTTAATTTTCATGAGCCTAAATTCATTCTTAAATTAGTTAAATTGTTGCTTAATAAGCCAGTGACACAAAAGCAAGATTGCCCATTAAAGGAGAAACGTTTGGGAGCATCAACAAAAAACCCCGTTAAGAAACGAGTACATTTTAAGTGACATAGAATGATGCATTAATAGAGATCCACTTACTGCATTCTAAGTGATCGTTCATCTTCTAGTTTCCGTGTGAGTAAATCCACTAAAATATCTTTGTCATCATGGTTGGGGTATGGCATTGTAAAGTAAGCTATTTCAAACCGCAAACGAATCAAAATTAGCAAAATACAAAATGAATAAATTTAGTGGAACGTTTTTGTTGTCAGCTTCCTTAGTGGTGATTACATGCTCGAACTGGAAAGGTGCATGCAGAGCACTTTTATATTGAGGCCAAATTCGTCATTCTGTTACACCAATGCATTTAAACGTACGATGAGCAGATCATGGTATATTGTAAGCTGCAGAAAGCTGCATACAAACCAAAACCTATCAATAATTTATTTTGGGTTTTATTCCTAAATAAAACTGAAAAATATACGTTTTTGTCCACGTGGTGGAATAAAATAGTCCATCTACAAAAGTAAATCGCAAACCAACTTAGGATAGGTTTTACGTAAATGAGGCACCACCATGATTGCAAAATGTTCCTGTCATTATGGCACATTTTAGTACGGAGAAACATGTGCATATCACGCTAATTCTATTGCAACACTTTCCTATTTCTCACACTTTCGGTTTCAGACCCTGGGAATCGGAAATTTGGGTTAGAGGAAGACACCTTGTATTACGTAGTGTACAATTTTACAAAGTAGTAGGATTTTTTGGAAAGGACAGTTTTTATCTTTGCCTTGGAAGTCGGTGCATACGCTCAGTGTACTCTGACCCTTTGTTGTAGCATCCCGGGACTCACTGAAGACGAAAGAGGACAAAATACTCGGGCAGAATATGCGTTCAACACAGAGAAGGTGTCTGGGCTATTGGCATGGCCCAAAAGGCCAGCCCACCCAGCAAGGTACAAGGTGGCTAATTCAAAGTACAAAAGTGGCGCCTTATTAATGCCGAGGGATAAACCACTATCGTATTACATTGTTACCTCAGAGGTACCTTCAAGCACATGTATTCCATAGTCCTCTTTGAGTTCCCTTGAGACCTGTTTCTTTACATGATATTTTCAGTAAGCCTTATTTCAATTAACATGCAGATCTCAGCTTCGTATACCGTCTATGGTATGTCTCTATAAGGACTCATTTTATTATGGTGGACCGTGGTTAACCGTGAGCAGAGCTGTGTATAGCAGACTGAGTAGTTTGTTGGTGGGACAACCGTTATCACTGAGGTTGCATTCTTATTCCAGGGTTGGTGGGACCTGAAATGTACTCTGGGAGGTGAAGCAGGTGTATAGAGCTGTCCTGGGCCTCCCTCTTGGTCGACGTTAAGCTGGCTGTGGTTGTCATAGTATGTCTTTTGTCTGGTATATTGGGCAAGCATAAGTGTTCACGCGCGAGGTTGGGGGTAGGCCCAATTTCTTCATTGGTGGTAATACGTACTAGGAAGCCTGGTGGATTGCCGCTCCAACGTCCGGTAAGGAAGTGCCAAGCTATGCTCTCATTTCGAGGCGTGTAAACATAGGTTTTAATGTTATCAGGTTGATTATTATGAACATTGAACTTTAATTAACCTGTGTATTTTCCTGCTGAAAATTACTTAAAAATACAATATTTGGAGGAACCCCATCTTTTCATCTCCCACTTTGATAGTCCGAAAATTTTTCCCGCCTTATAATTTCTTTTCGTTGTGTTAAGCTATTGTAACATTCTCGGGCCCAAAACTAGTTTGTTGAAGTGGAAATAAGAAGCTTGGCGTAGCTAAAAGCGAACTTAATACCACACATAACTTGCTATCCAGTTATATTAGCACCGGAAAAAGAGATAATTGAAAATTGCGCCATGACAGTCACCATATCCACCGCTAGTTAAACGAACGTCTTGATTTGCACAGTTGTGCCGCTGCTGCACTCGAAATCAGTCTGCGGAATTCCCTCTTCAGTATCAGGTGCAGAATACACAGCAGACACAGGGAGGGCGGAAGTGAGGAAATTATGCTCAAGTTTATTCAGGCTTTTACTGGACGGAACTCTCATCTATAACAACTTCTCTCGACGGTCCGAGGTATTTCCCTCGATAGTCTTTAAGTCTCGTCTCTAGACGTTCGTCCTAACGACACGACTTTTAACAGCTGCTTTAGGCTGCTTCCGACTGTGGAGTACAAAGGGCTGCGGTACTGCAACTGGCAGTTTTCCAAATCACACTTCAGTTTCGTGAAAGCACAGGGGTTGACAAGTTTGACAGTACTCGCAAGACTATTCGGCCGTCACTGATACACACAGCACTCCGGGAGTATAATCGGCAGTAGGCAAGGTAGTAAAGTGTACCTCTGACCGGGGTAAGAGCCATGGGTAACTGACGCATAGCATTTGCTCAGGAAAGGGATATCAGGCTTCACAAGTCATCTGCCAAGATATCCACTGAGGCGATCCTAAATGCATCCCATGCATATCCTGGATGCAGCTCTTGAAAACCTCGTAAATGTCACCATTTAGTTCAGATCACCGACTTTCATCTTCTTGTTACTCCAAGGATCACAATGTAATTCCTTAATAATTGCTAATGTCACTAGGGGAGGGGAATAATCATTCGATCGCCATGACGATAATCCATCAGGTGTAGCCGACACCTCCCCAAGATGTATCCAGTCTTTTCGCAAAAATTCGGGGTAGCGCATTTGCTTATGTCGCTGAACGGGTAGTGGCGCTGCAATGAGGTGCTTCCCACCTAAGCAGAGGCACTTTGAGGCATTAGTCGGCATCCGAATTAAACTTGGTGATGCAATACAACTAGTGTAACAGTTCAACCTCAATGCACTGCAGTGGAGTATTTCTCCAAAGACTTTTAAGTGCTTTAGATGCATCTCAAGTCTTAATGGTTAGTGACAATCGCGAGGTCTCCTAACTCGATACTAGGCTAGAGCCTCTTTACGAGTTGGAACATGGCAGCTTTCAGATGCGCCAACATCCACAAAGTGGGATGGTCATCTTCCCTCACCATTGCGCTAATGCCTCTCGTTACGACATCTGTAACCAAGATTGATAGCGACTTCGAGAAGAAGCGGCGCGAAACAAATTCGGAAGCAAGAAATTTCAAGAGGGTTCTCAGTATGTGTTTATGTATGTTAGGCCATCCGTAGACATCGTGAGACTGAAGTTACGAATGTAGCGAGAGAAGTACTGAAAAGAGTCCATTAAAGACCCGAATTCACAGAAATATTTTAGGGTTGGAGCTTTGGATGATGCGGATAACGTTTATAGTCTCATATGGTGGAAATTCCAGGATGCGAAAAGTTCAGAGTACTACAAATGCACTTCGGTGTGTTGAGTAAAACGTTACAACAGCAGAATTTTTTGAGAGCTGCGTTTGGCTTTTCACCACGTAGTTCTGTGTTAGGGGCATAGAGGACAACATTCTAGGCAGTGGCAACTCCTTCAAGGTTAGCAATGAAAAAATTCATCAGCCTAAAAGGCAGAGGGTGGAACATGGCTCGATGTTAATGCAGTTTTAGAAGGGCTTATGGAAGGGAAGCCACAAGATTGAGAATCCTAGGCGGAAATTGTTAATTTCAACCCTACAGCACCAACAAGGCGTCAGCGTCTGCAGAGCTACCGCTCCGTCAATGCATGGAACTCCATCGCAAAACCAAATTCGTGAAACGTGGCCGCGTGACCATCTCCTGACAATTTTTAGAAACAAAATATTGCACTCCTCATCTCCAGAGCTAGAGGAAGTGTATCCCTCTGCCCCAACTCAATAGTTGAAATTTTAGTCCAACTTCTCACCTTATACTTGACGTCGATCACGGCACGCAACATTAAGCGTTCTACTCTTGGTAAATCATTTGCTAGATAAAACTTCGGACACGGCCTCCGAAACCCATTGCTTGATGACATAGTTGACCAATAAACTACCTCCCCACATTAAAGGCGCCTGCGCATCTCCATATTGCGGTCTGGTTCCATAAGAGCACCTGATAAAAAAGGATGAAGTTGCAGCAAAAATAGGTCATTCAATGCCGACTGCGGAATGAGGTAGGTGGAGAGCATATGCAAATGCGGTGGGACAGAGAAGCCAAGCTTAATTCATCCATAGCGCTAAAATCACATTAAGTTACTCGAGAGATTGTGCAGTGCGAACGAGTAGGTTTCTTCGGAATGAGAAAAGGAGGAAGAGGAGGAGCATGGTAGAAGAGGGGAGAAGGGAGCAATAAACAACACCACAGAAACGTATTTTCTTACACAGAAAAACAGTATGAATGTGTACATAGCTCCTGGTTAATCACAATTTGTTTAGGTAGTGGGGTGGGGCAGTATTTGTGGCCGTGGCAACAATGCTTTAGCAGCACAGGAAGCCTTTATGTAGTAAAGGGGGGATTATCTTCTCAGACAAAAAGACAAAGAAAAGTATAAAAAATAGTGAAAAGCGATGATAACGTGAGAACAGTGATAGTGGCCGAACCATTGCCCTCCTCTTTCAACCACCAGCCCGCCGATGACTTCACCGACTTCACTGCCGACTGTCGGGTAAGTTCAATGCGCTGCCATCCGCCACCACCACCGCTATTCGATTTGCGCGGCGAGTTCAACCGTTCCAGCCCATAGCCTCCAGAATGGACGCTGTGATAAGTCTGTGAGGCGTCAAGGTTGTTCTTGGTGTTCGGCTTAGGCGGTGGCATCTGATAGACATGGTGGAGGCTGTCGTACCATTTTCCATTGCCTTGATACCCACCACTACCACCAACCATCGCTCCTTCTCCCTCCAAAACCACATCCACGATGTGGTCATTCCAGATGTCGAGGAAATCGGAGCCGAAGGGAAACGACGGAGGAGGAGGGGGCGGAGGTTTACCTCCCAGCCCTACCGCGTAGGCCTCCGGTGAGAAACTAACGGAGGTTTTGGGACTAAAGGGGACTGGTGGTGGCGGTGGCACACCTGGATCGTGCTCATCCAGCATGGAGGCAAGAGGATGGATTTGGCGCTCCCGGGGGCCGCGCGTGGGAAGCACGGGCTGCTGATGGGAAGGGTGGTGAGGTGGTTTTGTGCTCACTCCATATAAACTGAGACTCCATCCGATGAGAGAGACTAAAACAGTTAGAGTAACTTTATCATTAAGAGTGCACAAGTGCGCTCGAGCAAATGATTAAGGCAGCCGGCACGATAAAATTTTGCGTCCATAGCGGTGGGATTCGAAGGGAAGACTTTATGACCCCGTTTTATGCCATTTTGCAGCCTGCTGGTACTTTAAACGAATGAAAGCGTAATGAAGGCATCAATTACATTCCACAACGCAGTAAACGTCGCAACAACCAAGTTCAAAAAGTGGAACCTTTTCTGTCCATCCGAAACCGAAAACACAGAGTTGTATTTTAAGGAAAATGACGAAAGCGCCGTCTTATTTAGTTTAGATGAGCGTGTCGGGCGTCTTCAAAAGCACATTTTACCATGGGAGTTTGAATTTAAGGAAATCGCCTAGATAAAATACTCGTCCAGATTCATGCCTGCATAGGATTCACTAAGCTAAGTCATTTCAAAGGAACTTAGCTCCCCTATCACTATTTACTTGGTCATTCATCTGATACAGACGATATCGATATTCGGAGCACGGGTGGGTCCAGCATTTCCATTCAGCTTTCATGCGATCTTCTCATGTGGTGCTCTACTGTTTTCAGGTTGCTGTCACTGGAATCTTTCAGAGCACACTAGTGAATTCCTCAGACTATTGCGACAGAAACCCAACCCTAAAATTAACTTGAGAGCCGACCAAGATTAATTTAGGCCTTCACCGAAACACTTTCTGTCCGTGATACCAAGTGTGTGACAGAATGCTATTCTGTCATTTTTGGTGGAGAGATTCCTAGAACAACCGCATTATGAAAATAGGATTATCTTAACATGCTCAAAAGTTGAAAAGGCGAGTTCTGTTTTGGGGGCATACGTGTGGTTTCAATGTATTATTATAGCAGAAGGACATTTTTATATTTATACGTGTTTCCAAAGCAGACCTGTTCAGTCTCTATTCCGCCCTCATACTGGCTATTTCTCATCGCATATGCCGGAAATAATCGAGGCACTACAGTACCATACTTCACATTTTTGAACTATGGTAGAAGGAACAAAACCCGAGCCCAAAAAAGAAGGCAATAACTTCGGACATCCCAGGAGGAAGAAGAATGAGTCGGCCAACTCTCAGCAGCGACCTCATTGAGGGACAGTCAAGACGGCGACCTCTCAATCAGCGGCCGAAATGTACACTCCCTGAGACATTTGTCTGACGAGCGAACGTGCGTACACATTTACCACTCCTCGCGTGGAAGGCTGTCTACCCGCTCTCCTGCCTGCTTCCCCACACCCGCCGTCTCGCCAAACCTTTTTAAAATCCGGCCCCTAGGTAGGTTGGCACTGACAAGTTGGTGGGAGGTCGGCGATGAGTGGCAGCCTCCTAATAGTGTCCTTGACAGGAGAGCGGGACGAGTATGGTGAAAATACATAAACGAAAATGAAGGAAAAAGTACTTGATTGGAAGGAAAGTAAGAGCGCATAACATACAACGGAAAGGAATTAACACTGACCCCGTTTATTCGATACTACGGGGCTGAGAAAGTAGTCGTTGAGATAGAAAAGGAGCGCCTAGAGGGAGTAGTTCTGAGACTTTTGGCTACTTTGAGTTATACACCAAACATTTTTTTAAATAACCTATTTGGTTGATGTTTGACGGACAAATAATGCTATCAGCAACCTCAACACTTCTTTAAGGGCTAAAGAAGCAAACTGGATTTCATTAATACTAATGTAAACCTAAGGACAAAATAACTGATTTTGCTCGGCTGTTTGAAATGCTTGAGGATTAATGCCGAGAAAATGAGATGAAAAAGGTTATTCTAACTTGACCATATATTATAATATGATGATTGCTTGTTTAACTTCCAGTTTGGGTGAAAGGGCCACTGAAGGGTTCCGCCGTTGTACCTTCGCCGGGTGGATTGGTCTCTGGACCCGCCAGTAACCCCAAGCCCTACTGTGTCGAAAATATGTATTTTCCCTGAGTATTATATCTACTTTCGTCCTCAGGAAAGTACCAGGCACTACAATATTCCTTCACTAACTCAAAAAACCTCACTAATTCCAGACCATCTTTTACTTATCTCTTGAGATGACATCCATCTGAAAAATTTCATTTTGAAGCCAGTAGGGTAAATCACTTGATTGATATAACTTCCGCGTTGACCAGTCTTTCAAGAGGAGCCAAGCACTACCGGACTTGCTAAACAATACTGGAGCGATTGAAAAGCGTCTTTTCATATAAATTGAGAATTTGCATAATAAGTGAGATCAAGAAGGTAGTATCCAGAGGAATTTTGGGTCTTGAATGGTTGGACGAATGGGTAGATGGATATAGGAGAGTTGGATGAATGGACGGATATGGGATGGATGGATGAATGTGTTCCAAGCATTTATTGCCAACTTGTTCGAATGATGCCCAGATGTAGAATAAAGCTAACAGCTAACCCCGACGCTTGCCTAGCTTGGACTTTATGAATAGCAATGTAGGTTAGGTGCAGAACAACAGCACCGCAGTTTTCACCTCCACCTAAAACATTTTGAGATATAATAGGGAAATAGGAACATTTATTTTTCATTTTTTTCCATAGGAATTAGAGAGCGCAGTAAACATTTATTTAGTTATTGAAAAGTAATCAATCTACATCACTTTTTGGGATGATTTAAAAAGTATACATTATTTTAATGAGTGACTGAAGAGCTAGATTTTACGGCCTACACCTCCACCACTGTCACCATGAAGGGCTGTTTCTAGCAGAACTGAAGGAACGGTAGGGGAAGGAAAATATCACAAGCGAAAGTGAAGACGAAGACATCATTTATCGACAATTCGATTACACGTATTTCCTGGGGGAGGAAGAGACATGTAGTAGGTCAGCAAGCAAAAAAAATGCGCTTCTAACAAGGGAGTAATGTAGTAACTACTTAACGCGGTAATTGCGTTTGCGGAAAAGAACAGTTGCATGACACATGTACATTCACAAGCAGATCCTATCGAGATTCCTAAAAACTGGTAAAATGTCGTAGTAAAAACAAATTAAATTGCATGTTGAGTAAGTCTTGGATACTGAGTAGTGCCCTTATTCAGCACCAAGCACTAACATTATTTGTGTTATAACAATTTCGAACGTGGTATTAAGTATGCCGAGTAAACCCCTGCCCATTCGAGCAGTGGATATTCGCAGTAGGTAGCCTACTCCCTTCATCTATCCACGAAAAATAGTTGACAAAATGCGTAGCACACCTTTTATACAGTACTTCCATATTCTAGCTGCAATTTCTTGTGATAAAAAGTGCAATCTGACTGCAGTGATGGAGGGAACGCTTGCATTAAAAATAAGGTCCAGCACTTTGGGTTGAGCATCTCAATTGTTTCCGTGTGAAAATGTTCGGTTTACCACGTCTAAATATTCTGTCAAATTATTTTACTGTAAAATTGTAGCCGAGATACGACTGCATACTTGTGTTAAAAGTAGTGGCGCCACCCTGAAACTTCATTGAAGCGAAGCCTACGGATATAATGGAGCGTAAAAAAGACTACTAGCATTTTATGCACCAACTTTTTGGTTGAATTTTTGTTACAACCAATGAAGGGGGTGGATAAACTAGCGAGACCGGAAAGGCAACCTTCAATATCTGTTGCCATTTCCTCAATGAAATCTAGCCAATACAGTTTTATGGTATCTGCTGAATTACTGGATGGTGCTCTAGGTAACCAATAAAACTGAAAATGATAGAGAACTGGTCTTTTGAGTGGTTAGATTTAGACAATATTTCCAAAACAGTAGGTATCGCTTCATTCCAATATCAAGGACACCCGTCACAGACTGGTTTCGGATTGGCCAATAGATGACTTGTAACAACACCGATTGAGCACATCAAGACGAAAGAAAGTGACCTTACCGATAGGCTTACGCTTTCTTACTGTCTGTCCGATGATGTACAAAGCATAGATATTTTAAAAAAGAAAACGGTTTAAACGTAGTTCAGACGTGATAAATAGGTCAAAATAAAGTTGCCAGTTACAAATTAGTGAGATTTATCTTAATGACATACAACACGGGTCTTTACAGTCACTGAATTGTTCTCCACACAAGGGGAATGGAGCCATACTAGTCGTCACCATTCTCTCGTGCCAATCGGTAATGAAGTTACTTCCAGAGTAATTCGGGCTTTACAATACTGATTGCTGCCGAAAATCCAGGCGAAATTAATCTGTGGTTGAGGTGTAGGATGTTGATTAGCTTTCAGATGTAAAGACCAAATTAAAAAGGATTCGATCATTTGGTGATGCAGGATATGGTGTTTCGTTCAAATGTGAATTTTGAGTGGAAAATCTGGAACCTTAAATAAAAGCTAAATCGGGAAGTGTGAAAGCTCAGCAGTCGATCTCGAATCAGTGAATCAAATTAATGGTGCAATCAAGGCGCGTTCACGATTGAAATACTAAAACACTTCCGCACTTTCAGATGTCGAGATTAAAGCACCCGAAAAAGACCGTTCGACCATTTCAAAATGAAAAGGGGTAGGTGGTAGTATCCAACTCACCGACGGCGTTACCCGAGTGGACAGTGAGGGTCCACGTGCCGTTGGCCGTTTCACCCCAGAAGTGGACAGACATGAAAGGCCAGGCGTGGAATCCGGCGACATCTAAATCGAAGGGTCGCTTACTCAGCAACTTGCTCTTTGTTCCCATTGGTGAGGTCAGCCAGAGCTCCACCTCACCCCGGCAGTCACTCGTCAGTGTAACCTTGGGGTGTGAGGAAGAGAGGAAGGGGGTCAGGAAGATGAGGCCATTAAGAAACCCTCATAGAACAGTATGCTCAGGCTTTTCTTAAATACATCATCTTTCTCTTGGAATAAAAGAGATAAACCCACCCACTCCAAAAGAGCAATGACGATTTTGAAATTGCTGGTTGGATACAGTGTTTAAAGGTCACAAAGGGAAGGCAAGAGAAGGGAAGTAAAGAGGGACATGTGTAAGCGGATAAACTCACAATAACATTAGGGTAATAATGTATTGTAATGACTCCTCACTCCATGACCAGAAAAATCTCTTCAATTATGATAAGTCGTTTAGCCCAGTGCTCAAGAACTCGATACCATTCTGCAAGCTCCTTGGTTGCATTATCGCAGGTATCAAGGGGGGAGGAGAAACGTCCTGGAGACCAGTGGTTCCAGCCGATTTCTACTTATCAGTTATCCTTTATAATGAAAGAAGTAAGGACAAGGGCATGGCAGTGAACGTTTCTAATAAAACTCATTTCAGAAACGGGGGACTTAGGTGTCACATTAGTGGCAGCACCAAGTGAACCTACTGCAGAGAGGCAGCAGTAACCCCAATTTCTCTGGCTGACATCTGCTGTCCCTACTCGGTTCTACAGAAAAGATGTAACAATTACCTTGACTTGCACTCATATTCCAAGATTTGAGAAAAAAAAAGTCAGGCCAACTTTAAACGCTGTGGATGGTTAATGAGAACGCTGGTTTTACCATCTATATGTTGGGTAAATTTACGCATTCCTGAGAGAAGCGTTTACCTTACTTGTCTAGTTTATTGTGATGCAAACACACTCGTAATTATGTGAACAGATAAAAAAAACCGACTCTCGGGATGAGCACTGAGGTATTGATGAATAATCAGTTACCATTCTACCACATTTTGACAACACCATGTTATGGATCCTTCGGAAGAATGGCACTCCCCTTATTATCTTTGGAAGTGATTTGATGCGATTCCGATGCAAGTGCTCCGTGTAATGCTCATGAAGTAAGTGCTGTTTCGTTAGCTGGGAAAAAGAGCATATTTAATTAAATATTTATGGACTACTGCAAAAAATAAACATCCTAAAAAACTAAACACGGACTGCAAAAGTCGCACAAAATTACAGGTATTTTGCAGTGTCGATTTTAAACCCCAGCTCAAGCGAGCAGAAAAGCAATGTAATCAAACAGCTTGAGACTAAGTTTTACAATTTTGCAATCTTATCGGTACTCCATCTGTTCCAACCGGATTGGACTGAATTTGCCAAATAGCTTGCCATAAATACTCCGATGCATGGGCTTAAATTAATCGCAGTAAGTTCTAGTGAACACGATTCCCGTGTTCGGCTTTTGAAGGGGTCTCGATCGCCTCGTTTACAATAGGCGAGAAAGATTTTGACATTAGTGCTTCTTAGCCTATAGCTTATCTTGATGGCGAGCGGTCCCAATACACTGCGGCGAGTGTCTACGCCCTGCATCACACTTCCACATTTTATCACTACGGGGAAGATTTACATAAGCCCGCATTCAAGTCACAGACTAGTTTCGTTTGATCAACTTTGGCTATTAATCTCCCCCTGTGGACTAGTATCACTGGAATATGACGGATTTATCCCGGCCAGATAAATTATATCTATCATACTGTTCCAAGAACACCCGATTCGAGCAAGAAATGAGGCCAGTTCATGATTTTGTATTTATGGGAAAAAAGAGGACATACCTAACAGATAATACTCCAACCAGTTCATTGAAATGTCTTTGTTTCATGTGAGAGAAAGGAGAAATAGGAAAAAAGAGAATTTCCTCTCCTCAACAAAAAACTTATTTGAGGTTAAAACATGTAGCAAAATGTTTGTGTAAATGCACCAAATTCCCAGTCGGTGCGCGTCCCGCCGACACACAGGGGGAGGGAAACATGCGGTAAGTGGGAAATTTTGCACAACCCTGCATTTATTGATATTAGAGATTTATAATCACGTCCACACAAGCATATGACGGATGAAAATGATGTTTTTGAGTATTAATCGACTAGCAGTAAGGGGGATAAACCATTTCGGCGTATGGAGAACAGAGTAAGAATACTTCATTGTTCATTTCTAATGTGATTTGTTTTCAAAGAAGTGTTGAAGAACCTCATAGCAAATAACCACGCAAAAAAGCCATCGATGAGATTATCTATTCAAATACAACTCCATCCAATATGATAGTTAATGGGTACGTAGAAACTATTTTCCAAATTTGGGGACGGCATCAAACATCGTGGAACCTCAAGGATGTCCTAGTCAATGGTTAGCATCAGGGTCAATCCCTTTATCTAGGATTTGAACCAAAAAATTGGCTTCCGCAGATCAAAATGGGCTGTGCGGATTATAATAACACTGTTGAAAGACGCTGCGCAGAAGACAGAAAACTTTTATCCCCACCCTTCCGGTTCACAAACACCAATTCCGGACGGTTTATAGGGGGAATGTAGGCAGGTGAATATCACGCCTCCGACCAAAACATCCCTTCCAGTTCAAAGGGAAGAAAGTAATTTTCCTACCTCTAGATTACTGCAAAGTCTGAGTAGGGATCACATAAAAACAGCTGAAAAATAATAAATGGTTCAAATAATCCACTTCTGGTGGTGTACACTTTGGCGCAATTGTTTTTTTACTAGATCATCTCTAACATTTGTTGATACTCGATAAGGTTGAAAGTTTCCACCTTTGAGTAGCTTGTTACAAAACCAGTGGCTAAAAACTGTCAACTCGAAATGGCGTGGGTTATTCGAATACCTCTGCACCTCTTTCCCACTTTATTGAAAAAAAGTGACCTCGCGTTTCAGGCAGCTCCTCTAACCTAGTAAACAGCACAGCACTATCAGAGGAACAAAATAATGTTTGTTTTGTTTACATCATCTCCCGCAGTACAGCCTACATGATGGCGACATGAGACTCTTCTTGGCCCAACTCTTCTTTGTGCCTGCAATAAAGCTACCCCTAAGCCGGTTATGAGGTCCGTCTTCACGAGTAACTCAGATGCGTAAATTAGCAGACAGAGGTGTTTTAACTACTTACTGAGATGAAGAAATAATTAGAAGGCCCTGCCCCAATTTTGCTTTTCAAAATAAGCCAAATTTGAACCATCTGACTGGAGGAGCCACCTCATAATGCAACAATTAAGAACCTTGCAAACTTGCAATCGCATCAACCATTTTGCAACAAAATTCGATACATCTTCTAACTTTAAGGTCCTGTGGCATCATAACACAAATCTACCCACAATATAGAGTATTTTTACCTTTACACCTCCCCTAACCCTATACCGGGGCGTCAAGTACTATTGGCTCTAGCTGTAAACACAAAAAACTTTTGGAAGCCATTACCTTCTCTGATCGTCCAGCATTGCGTGAGGTAGGGCCAAAGCCACCCCCTCAACGACTCTTCTTTCCGTAATGGCGGAAGTAAATAACGAAGCTTTATATCATGGTATATAATAAGGTATCTCGATAAGGATTAAACTGCCCGCAACGCTCCTATTTGTGTTGGTGAAGTGGTTTCAAAATAGACCTCAGATTCGCCTTTGAACAGTCACTGATAGCGCTATCGTTAAAAATAGCGATATCTAACGTGGTTAGGGATTTACAAGTACAATTAAATTAGGATCTCAGCCAACTACACGCCATGTTGTACAATAACGAAAAAAAAACAGGTAAGAATAGGAACCGGAACTTGGGAAATGTGGCCATGAATTCATGTTGCTTTCCGACATTTCGACACGGCAAGGAAATGCACTTTAAACGGATCAGTTCACTGCCACAACAACACGAAATCCGATCCTCTACAGTGGGTTATCCCTGCTTAATAGTTGCTGCTATCGAATTAAGTTCTTAGTAGGGGATTCGAAAGTCCTTCATTTATCATATTTTGTCACCGTTCTTGCAGCATCCCATAAATATTTCATAAAAACACTGTCTACTTTGCAGTGATGCTGGTGAAATGAGGTTTAAAGATCGCTTTTTAGTAGCTCAAGCAACAGAGATATCAACAAGGGGCTTTTGGTCATGGAATAGAAAAAAAAATAGAAAACTTTTGCCCAAAGCGGGGAGGGAGAAGAGGGAGGCAACGGGAAAGTCACGCGATCAGATAAGGACGGGGAACACGTGAGAGCATCTGCTTTAGGGTGATAGGTCACGCAATTGTTATTGATGCACGAGAAGGAACAATAAAGGTAGAGGAGGAAAAAGGAGGATATTGTAAGCCCCATTCCCCTCAGTTTTGAGCGAAGCAATCTAAGCCATGATAAACTTGGTCATTGTTAAAAGAATACCGAATTAGCAACCTCTATGGACGAGTACGTATCCGCAATCACCACTGAAGGAGGATTGGAAGTGTATTCAACACGTGTCCCATTAAGGCACCGCTCCTCCAATAAACGGACGTGGAATCACACTTATTTCCCAGCTTAGCGACGGGAGGTTAATTATGTAAACATTCCACAGAATGAGATGATAATAAGGCGTGGGAAATATGTGTAAGCCCCAGCTTTCCCCAGCCAGAATCAGGAGTGCGTTCTTTTAGAATTAATCACGACGCTTTGACCCACGCCCGTAATCAGACGATTTGAAGTATCCGCGGCAGCGGCAGCACCACTACAGGCCAACGGAGGGGTGGGATAATAAACGTAGCAATAAAACACGCCCATGTTGAAGGCGCCTTTTACGACCAGATGGCATGTGAAATTGCGACCAGGTAAGGTGAAATCGATGATCTCAATCACAACTAAACAACCAAATTCCACATCCGGACATGGTTTCGACATTAGTGATAGTGTCGAAATTATAGATCTCAGCAGGCAATGAATGCAGTCTCGATCACGGATTGCCAGACTATGTAACGCTATGAACTTTCAATTGATAAGAGGTGGCTAGAAATTCCCTACTAAAAAGCAGTGCCTATCCCTAACTTTTTAGCTATCTGCTATGGCAAACGCCTGAGACCTTAGTAGACCCGATTATGGGAAAGAGTAAAAGGTTGTAGCGGTGAAAATGAAACAGCAAGGTTTATGCTGTAAAAACCAAAGTGGCGTCTACACCCTCTAGATAGAGGGTGTGTCAGTTATCTGAGAACGAAACTGGTCATCTTAGTTTTTGGCCGCAGTGAAAGGATGCGCCGACGACCGTTGTGGTTTGGGGATTAAATCCATCTGTAGTACTGCCAGGTCCTTTGCTACGCCAAGGATTTGTGGTTCAGAAAACCTTGTGTTAAAAAGGAAACGCATTTGCGAAAATGGGATGATGTCAGAGATGCCAAGTTTGTCCAACGGGGTCTAAATCACGCAAGTATACAAATCACCAAGGTGCCACTAAAAGTGGCCATGAACAAATAGACATTTTGGTGGATGTGAAGATATTCGTGTGTGCACCTATGTACATGCGCACATACATCCAAGGCACTAAGGGAAGTGCTAAACTGAGGATTCGCATTATTACATAAAAAGGAAAACTTTCAGAGAGTTCAACTTGCATGCATTCGATATAGTCCTCTACTAAATTTACAAAATTATCGCAATGCTTAGCTAACATCCAAAAAGCTTCGACATGAAAATATTTACCGGTAGGGCTGAAACATCCTGAAACATCACAAGCAGAAGGCTACCTTGATATTCAGCGTGTATTAAGTTTTCAAAAGTGTAAATGCTCCCAATCACCATTCTCACAGAAGGACTTGCCTTTTGTGCAATTTTACGAAGTCATACGTCGGTTGGCAGTTGTTCTGTGCTTTGATTTTCCACTAGAATGACTGCCAAGGCTGTGAGGTTGAAGCCAGAGCCATCTAAATCGTCACGGAGGAATACACGGCCCTCCTCAAAACTTGGTCTCATTCAAACGCTTTACTAAAGTTGGGTGCCTTTTGGGGACACAAATGTCCGCAGATTTTACCACGTCGTTAATACATAACTTTATTCATCATTCCACGCACGCATCATCACTGTTACCTGCCCTCTTGATTAACGGTGTCTGGACTAACCCACGAAACGTTCGCCGGCTATTGAGGTTAAATAGCACGCCCTTGCCGCCTACTACCGCGCATGGTACCACAACGATTGCGGCCCGTTTTGTCTTCAACTTAAAATTGGAAATTCCGGTTTGATTTGAACCCCTTTGTCTGAGAGGTTAACGCAGACATTTTTCAGGAGGTAGTAGGTTGTTCACCCTACGTCATCCCCATTTTTGGTGGCCATATTACTGGAAAATAGACATTTATTAACAAGGCACAAAGGAAATAATGATAATGATCAGGGGGCTAGCTTTACTTCCGTTGGTAAGGCAAAGGAGGGGGGCAGGAGGGAAACACAGACCCCATGACCTTTGTCTGACTGTCATCATCATTGTATTATTGACAAATTACTCGCGAACGAATACGCGGCCAATAGCAGAATTTAGTTTAAGTTTAGCTTATATTTAGTAAAAGTCCTCTTCCCAAGAGTGAACAAGAAAAGAACGAGAAACCAGAGGGGTGTGAACATGGCAATTACTCATTAATTGAAATGTTGTTCAAAGACGCCTTCGCTAAAGCCATTGGAAATATGGTAACTGTTCTTTGGTTTCTTTGATTATTTAAATTACATATTAGTGTAAGACGACATTCCTAACGCAGTGACGCTACATGTAAGAAAACGCTCGTTTCACGTGTAAAGGAATTATGAATACTTCTTCCATCAATATGTCGCAGTAGGACGGTATTTGCTTTGGTGGTAAGTTCAAATATGCCGGCACCTCCAATCCGTTGCGACCTAATTGTTGTGTTGGTGGAGTTAGGGTACGCTAACAGTCGCCCAGTTCTCCTGTGCGTTGAAAATAAAAGTACTCTAATGCTTGTATATCTTACAACGCCTTGGGAAATAACTGGGACACAGTGTTAATTTTGCATACTTCAACTTCACCCATCCTTTTTAATTATTTACCATTTCAAAACGTGAGATACAAGAGGAAAATACTCACTTTCGCTTGAACATGCTCCAGGTAGGCAACGCCCCTTGAAGGGTCGCCGGCTTCATTAACGAGGCACCCGTCCGTCTCTAGTCGCAGTTGCTCCGTCGTATGGTGACGCATCTTCAACGGGCTACGCGGAAGAGAAGCGTGCACTTCGCAGATCCGCTGGGTGGGAACTGTAGTCCAGTTGAGCGCCAGATCCACCATCACTGCAGCATCCATCAGCCCGTAGCTAAAGGAATACACCGGAGAGGGTGCATTATTCGCAGATTCTCCTCATCTTGGAGGTTAACTTGTGACAGTTAAACGAAGTGTGTCCTGATGTCACGTCTCAAAGAGATCAATTGTTGTAAAAACCATTGGATCGTAACTGGAAGAAGATCTGAGTTCCGTCATCTATCCTCGTACAATTAAAGTAAAAAGTGCGCCGTGTCGAAAGAACGAGTTACCGGTTGGTGTAGCTGATAGGAAATACAAGAACTGACTTGATGATTAATCAAAAAATGTCAAGATCTTGAGTTGATTTTCCTCATTTAAATGAGGAATATGGCACCATATTAGTGGCACTGAATACTTATAATTACATTCAAATAGCAAAGCGAAGGAAGAAATAATCGTTTTTGAGATATAAAGTATCTTAAACTCGATTTGAAAGAATGTGGCTTTCGTTGCGAACCGCCTGAAGCAGAATAATGGATACATTTTGTCAACTTAAAATGCTATTTTCAAAGCATGTGAAATACAACATCTGATTTGGTTACTGCATACTATTAACTTGAAGAGTTTATGAAGCGTGTCACACTATTACGGTATTGCATTAAAACATATGCACATTCACAACACTAATCATACCTCAGAAATGTTCGAGGAGAAAAAAAACGCTCAAAATCACGGGTAAAGCACCAAGCAAACATTTCCTTGAAAGATAAAAGGGGTTTGGAAAGCTGAAATCTGTATCATAGAATGTAGAGAGGGGCTTGAGAGAATGAGGAAATAAGTGACAATGACAGTAAAAAGCAGTTCCTTGCTGACTTACCTCAAGACTTTAGCTCAATTTATCAATGTGCATTGATATCACATTTAATGATGTTCCGATTAGTTAATGTGAAATAATCTTTCCCAGGGAGCTTAAAAGCCTTTCTTTGTGTAAGCTTCCCTTAGCCTAAAGCTGGCTGAACGTTAACCCACCACAAGTATTGCGAAATATTTAACAGGAAAACAGATGTTACTAAGACAGAGTTATGAGGTAATGCCACACTATGGTTCACAACGTAAAGAAGCACAACGGGAACTTGTGACCTTTGCTGACTGGCGTTTTACTTTTTGGGCTAGGATTTTAACTTGATTCGGCTCGACGCCAAAAGATTAAAATTACTTTTTCTACGGGCCAAAGCAAATTTTTCCATAGCTGAAGATACATTATCGTGATCACATAAGATCAGTCGGTTTTAAAGATTGATTGGCTGGAAAGTAGGTAGCAGCTCAGAGAAGCGCTTGTTATAACCAGAGAGTCTGCCTGAGTGTAATACTAATAGGTTGAGATTGCATCAACAGTAGCTGTTTAAATTGGTTGACTCATAAATAAAATAAATTATGAAATTTTAGTTAGGCAATCTAACTTTAAACGCGTTCACTACCAAGGTATTGGAGGAAGAACAACCATCACAACCCAGGGATGTACTTTTTTTATAAGTTGTGCATTGCCGTCAATTTCTTTAGACGAATTAAACTACTAGCCACAGGTCAAAAAAGTGTAACAAATCTTGGATCAAGAGCATCCAAGATCTACTTTGGTGCTCTAAATGCAACCAAACTGTCACAATGATAATGAGCGCATGCCACATATTTGTAACGATAGGCTCATATAGGAAGGTGGAGGCATCCGTATATGTGAAATGATAGTAAACGTGCTCAAAAGGCTAGCATAAAAATTGGAATCCAAACCACCACCAATTAGGGGTAGGCTGCCGTTCACTAGCCAGACGAACAGTATCGACAACATAGAGGGGAATGCTAGTCGCACCTGATGCCCTGACAAAGTCCCACGCGTACCTGTCACTCAGTCGGTCTCGACAATAAGGCGTGTCCGAAAGTCCAAATGCCACGAAGCGAAATTCGCCAGCCGCATCACGGTAATGTCGGTGAATCCGGGTAAAAATACATGCACCGCCTGAATCAACTCCCGATGATGATCACAACAAACACTGCCGAAATACTGGCAAACTAATAATAATGGCCATGATATACTGATGCTCGTTTCACCACTCGCCCAAGTTAAGTTCGGTAGGTTGAAAGGGCATTTAAAATTTTTTTGGCTTTCAACTACTAATACTAGCGTCTGGCAGAAAAAGATGCATAATCTTCTCTACCGAGGGTTCTTTTTATAAATTTGTCAATTTGATTCTTAATTTGAGGTGGTGTTCCCGGAGCACTAATCATGATGGATGCATGCATCACCATGCTTAAATGCCATTTAATGACATGTACAGCTCCACAATAAACACAAAAAAGTACTGTGTACAAACAAATCGTATCTCCCCCTCCTCAGTTTCCAGCCTCAGTCGAAATTTGCCCTATTATATGCACAATGTCCTCAAAAGACAAGCAGGCAAATAGGAAAGCTGTGATCTTATCAAAAACGGGCAGTCACTATAAAAACATAAATGTTTCAAAGCGAAAGCAATATCTAGTTTTGAAAGCTTTTGAAGCGACTTCGTATTAACGTGCAGGAAAGAGAATCTGTTTCAACCAACGAAAAAAAAGCTAAATAAAACACGGCTTTAAGTAGCTGGAATTTTGGCAAATATAAGCAAATTTGTGAAGGCATAAGTAAGGAATGATTAGAAATGAACAAGTAGTTGTCGCCTTGGTATCATTAATTAAAAATTCATAGCGCTGCTCGTGCTTGATATTCGAAATTCAAATCCACTCAGGGAACTATGTGGCATCCTCAACCGTTGAAAGCCTAACACTGATTTCACATCAGCCAATTACCTTCATTGAGAAGGTGGATACTGTTTTCATCCAAAGTTCAAACCATCTAGAAATCGAGGACCATTCCTTGGTTTATTCTAATGTTATAAAAGTAAAGATTAAAATAATTTATAATACAAGTAGATTTCCACACTCTCTGAATCACCTGGCTATGGTCAAAAAGGTAAATAACTGTCAACCAGGACACGAAATACAAAAGTACTTTCAGCCAATTTCCAAAAATTTACTGGACGAAGAGACATTGCCTTCAGATACGCTCGTGCATTCAAATCAAATTGGAGAATTTCTAGTATAAAGCAAATTCTTTTAACTGCCCAGGCAAAACGACAATGGCAGCGGCATGCCGACCGCTTCAGTCCCCTCGATGAGCGGAAGCCGAACAAGGTTGGACGATTAGGAAAAAGGATGCTATGCCAAGTTCACTGTTCATTTAATTTTCTTTGATTTAATTAACTGAATAGTAATGACAGATTTATTTAGTCAGAAAATCAACAAATTTGGGGAGTGGATACGATTAAGTGAGTACATTGGGCACTGGAGGGCACAACGATACCTAATACCACTTACCACTATCTTAAGGTGAAAGGCTATTTGAGGAACTTTAATAACATTAAAGGAAAAACTTGTTCTACCGCTCGATTCTCTCGAGGAAAACTTTACGGTTTCTAAACATTGTTAAATAATGCAAAAGTGTTTTACCCGAGCTGTTTACGCATTTACTTTTAACAACTAGAGATGATTAAGTGGGTTTAGGGGCTGGCTGCTGATAAAATGACTTCTCATGTGCACAGACGAAATTGGAAGCAAAAGCAAAGGGATAAAGGGGACAGTAAGATCAAACGCACAACGTCATATTTCATGGATTGACGCGCAAAGAGGACAGCTGGCAGTAAAATATGACATGAAACCCAAACTTGTAGTTGTCAAAGCATCATAACTAGTGTTCCATCTAGTTGCAATGCCCCGGTTGTTTGTTTAATTTCCGGTTTTGGTAGCGGTCCACGTAGGGGTACCGCCGTTGCATTTCCACCAGAAGGCTTGGCCTTCGGACCGTGTCAGTAGCTCCCATGTCCTTTTGTAAGTCGACAATGCATACTCAGCCCGAGTAGTGGGACTTTTTTTGTCTTCATGAAATTCTTGAGGAGTTACTCAGTGGATGCATCATTCTTGTCTTATTTCGAGCTGTTCTAAAGTTTGCTTTCAGGCAGACTGCAAGTCTTCACGTACCAGATATTTGTGCTTGATCATCGTTTTGAATTTGCATCTAAACGGCCTGAAAAGTTAAAGTGCCTCCTCTGACAAACATGGGAGATAAAAGGAACGTGATCGGTTAACGAAGGCAGATAAATATTCTAACTAGACAAATTTTAATCGCACATTGCCTGTATAGACAACGATTCTCAGACCATAAAAAAGGCCGAAATCGGAACCCCAACATATTCATCAGATCACTTCGCAAGATCAGTTATTTACTTCTAGGTATCTTCCAAATATTGAATCGCTTTGTTGTCAGACTGTGAAAAAGGATCACTTGTACTCAGCAAGTTACGAAAAGTGTTTGCTTAATCGCCTGCCGCATTGTGGGGTTATTCACTCCTTTTCATCACAGGTCGCAGACAAGGTGACAACCTGCTTCATTGATAAGGCAATTACAAACCTCGACTGTTATTTTCTCTTTGGGATCTGATAAAATCAGTTATTCAAAGTTAGGTAATTATAAACTAGACTCACCATGTTAAATAATGCTACCTTTATCAGTTTAGTGACGGCGCTGATTGAGAAAAACGTGCTCTAATTTAAAAAAAATGGAAACTTAGATCATACGGTTCGAATTACCGAAAATTAGTGCGACAGGACTTTAACATTGATAAGAATAGGCATTCTGTGTCATAAGATCTAGATTTCTGGATTGACTCGATTAAGCCGATAAATAGGCGGATGGAAAAAGGGATGAAAGAAATCAAGATGGATCAAAGGAAGAATGGGTAAGATGGATGAATACGGAATGGGTGGATGAGCGGATGGAAAAATGGATAGGTGATGGTGTTGACAGCGATAAAAGACTGAAGGAGCCATTTACCCAAAGGCATGTGAAACGCGTCGACCGACACCATTAACACGCCAGTCGTTGGTGTAGAGGCCGTCGGGTCGGGCGGAGTGGATGACGATGTATTGGAGGTCGCGCCACGTCAATCGTGGATTCGCCGAGAGCGTGAGTGCACAGATGCCCGCGGCCAGAGGCGCACTCGCCGACGTGCCCGAGTGGCTATCCGTACAGGTGTGGTTCAGGTCAGTCGTCACCTACACGGTTCACACATACTACTTAATAGCACCACTCATTTAAATAGAGGCGCAAAGAATGCTGGCACAAAGCAACACACAAAATGATCACATACTATACACTGACACCATCTTCCCTCCTTTACATGGGTTTTATATCTCGCCTTTTGAACGCGTGAAAATAAGGTGGCAGTGGCGATGTTGATACCCATGTTACCACTGTTCCCTAATTTGGATAGACATAGGACAAGATGCCTCTTGATTTGGAAAGAATCCAACCACCACACTTGGTGCGCGCACTATTGACTACACCATTTTTAAATGAAGTGTTAGTCGTCCTTAAATCGTGCAGTAATTCTAACGACATAAGCGGGAAAGAAAAATTTGCGAAGCGGATACGTGCTTACTTAATAATAACCTGGTGTTCAAGTGGGTGTGCAACGAGAGGCGCCCGGCTGCATCAAAAGCATGATTAACAAAATAGATAAACAAGTCTCAGTGTCCACCACCATCTACAAAGGTCGGGCCGTAAATCGATCAGTGGCCAGCAAAATTATTTATAAAATTGCAACCACTAGAATTTTCTTATATGGCAATTCAATAATTCAACTTATTTCAAAGTTTGTCGAGAAATTTTTGAAAAAGGTGAAGTGCAAAATTTTCTGCAGCAGAACCAGATAAAACATGTAAATCCGCTTCGTATGAAGGTTGGTCTACTTAAGCCTAGAAAATCTGCCACTTGCTTTCAGACAAGCTGTCGTAGAACATTTTCGGCACAAAGTCGATCCTCTCTCACTTTAATTTTGCTGTCAGACAGTTAGATGGCTTCAAAAGGAGCCGATGATCCCTGTCAAGAGTTGAGCCCTTTCACAGTGTAAATTTTATTCTGACGGAATTTTTCACCCTTGTAATTATAAATTCAGTGCTCTCAGTTTGCCGACTTAAGCAAGAAGCAAAAACGAAAGCCCCTGAGAGTAAGATACTTTTTAACTTCTAAATTCTGACTTGGCTCCCAGGGGCAAACTATGAGGTTAATAAGGATAATAATAATTAACTTTTCGCATCTACACCGCCTCTCAGACGGGCCACAGACAAGAGCATTGCGCGGCACGTACACCAGTTTTCAGATCCCAAAGACGGTGAATCAACCACATGACTGTTTTACTACGCAAAAAGCATGCTTAAAAATTAACCATATGTAAAGTCATAGTGCAGCATCGAGAAAGAGGCATAAGAACGGTACCGGATGTACCGCCTGATCTACCACAAACTGAACACCACTAATGAAGCGGTCCTGGCTTTCAACGTTCCCTAATATGAAAAAATATATGCATATCTAGGGGAGAATGAACCTATTGTCGCATTAATGCGAAGAAATCGCTTCATATAGTAAGTCTGATGAAAAAGTCTAAATAGTTGCATTTTTCCTCAAAGGTACCTAGCTGAATCCAAATGATTTCCGAAAACACAATAAATGCATAAGGGGAATCAGATTTTAGGTCATAACACTTAATAGCATTCTTGGAGAGGCTTTGTCTTCGACACACTTTCCAACTTTTAAAAAAGCCACAACGACGGAACAATGCATTTTTTTATTTTCAACTGAATAAAGCTACGGTATTCCTGAGAAAAAAAATACGTAAACACGGAGCCAGCAGTCCAGGTACGAAACCTCTGAGCCACAGAGACTTTCAACGAGTTCAAAAGAATTGATATTTTGTCTTCTAACGCCTAATTTCAAACTGTCAATTCTAATTTCCATCAATGTAAACAATTCTTCCATTCCACTGGCACATTTGCAGGATGGTGGATATGAGGACAAGTAAAAGTGAAGTAATCGAATGCCTTTTTGAGAGCGTCAGAAATACGCAAGATTCTTAGCGCATGGGCTAATAGGAGAAGCAGACACCGGAGCTCACTTAGTTTGATTGTGATTCAATCAAACAGTGTGATTTCAAGTTTTGATTTGGAAGGAAAAGTTGATGATTAAAATTTCCAGTGTGTGTCCTGTCAAGCACGCAGACACAAGCAGTTTCGAGTCAATGTCAGGGCAGAAGAGGGAAGAGAGAGTGGGGTAACCATACCCAATGGAGTCGATCTAGTTGTCTCAATTTCAACCAAATTTTACCCAGCACTTGAAGTATTACAGGAGAGAAGACACCACCATTGAAGATGAAGTTTTTTCCCGAAACTTAATGTGAAGCATTAAAAACATCAGAATTGAAATTTTAAACAAATATCTCTACACGATCGCGTAATGTTTGGTCGGAGCATTGGGCATCCAGCTAACGTTACCACCACATATGATCGTCAGAAATTACACATGGAGTAATGATACAAAGGAATAAAGCTCTCAGGAGGTAATACGTTTCAACATTTAAAAGATGTGGACAGTAATAAACCACGTAATAATCACTAAGCAATCAATTTTCGTGTCAGTCAACAGTATTTTCCAGATTGATGCACGTGCAACATTTCGAGAAGACGACGCAAAATGAAAACAGTCCACGGTACGAAAAATGCAAAATAGCGACAAAAGAAGGAAATCTATAGTTTGACAACCCGACTGCTTTTATGACCTTGTTAATCCACAATTTCCCTGGCCTTAATCTATTGTTAAATAACCGTCTGTCTAACGGGGGTTAGAGGAATGTGGGAAAAAAGCCAAAAGCATTTAACAGCACCATGAAAGTGCCTCAGAGGTACCGCGCCACCGGCAAGTTTAACACCATGTCAGTAAGCGTGCGTGCGTGTGCGTGTGAAAACTCAGGTCAAAGCATTCACAGGCCTGACAGCGACAGAACGGTTCCATTCCCATATGCAGTGCTAAAGGTTTGGCGTTCTATCCCAAGACGTTCGACCTATTACCCGGTCTTTTACTTAGTGGATTCTTATGGTTTGATTAAATAGCTAACACCGCTCTCCTATCCTCTGAAAGACTGTTCTGCCGTTTTCGAGGAAGTGTCTAAAAACTTCCACAACTACGATAAAAAGTACTGGTTGGTTGTGACATCGCTGTTGTTATTTTTGTTGAATTAGTTGTTTACGGTAGTGCATATGAATAATCTGCGGTCTTCTCATGAGTATCACTTTCGCCAGCCGGCATGCCTTGCAGAACGGCGGGTCATGCTAAGCGATTCGCGCAGGTATTTTGACTAAGGGGATTCCAAATTCATCATAATTATAGTCATCAGCGTGAAATCGGCAAAGGTTTTTAAAGGGTTTACAACAAGGAGATTATCTTCCATGAGACCCAAAACATTTTTGTAGAACGAATACTGCGAACTAAATTTTGATCAGTAACTCGAAATTTGACGTTTTTAATTGCACCAACACGACCAAACACTTACAAAGTAACTAAGCATCAAACAAAGGCATTTTTCGGTTTTGTAAATACATTTCAGTATTTTACATGCATGCTTCTCTATTACCGTTCAAAATTAGCAGAACCATACATCCGGCATGAAGTAATAAGAGAAATGAATGAAAGAAATGAAGAATAAATAAAAGCTCTCTGAGCAGAAACTGGTCATTTTTCATGAACATTTGCTTAATCGGGGAACCAGCGAAAAGCTGCGCCTAACTTAAACGGCAACAAAAAAGTGATTGATAAACACAGTGTCAATAGTTTAACAGACAGATGAGAGGACCGTTGCAGGAACTAATCAAATATCCATCAGAACCAGAATAACCTCAAGCCTTGTTATTATTTACTACTGCAGCGTAAACGCAAACTTTTCCTGTGACAAATCGTACTTTTGTTTTTGATGCAAAGCAGATTATGTTCAGTAATCCAGAAAATTAACTTGGCACTTTTTAGATTTGGATTCAATGATCCGATACCGCTTTTATCAAGCATAACCCTAAAAAAATCTGCTGAGTTGATTACAGAGCATAGATCCCCACTGCAGCCAACAAAAATGGATGGGACGGTGGTCAAATGATTAAACAACTGAGACTGATTTTCAGAGATACAAAGTTAATCCTCTTGCAACGGAATGATCACTCGCTCACACGTCGCCCCCACAAACAACAATGTTGAGAAATTGCAAGCATGAGCTCTATAGCCAGAAATTCTGTTGGCCGTAGTTTCGCCACGATCACTAGGTCTTACATCAATCGGCTGTCGTTTCCTCGATGAGCCGGACCACGGCTTAGAGGCCATGATAAACACCTTTCGTTATAACTTCGCAAATTTTCTCATTTCTAATCGTCAAAATTTGCCCTTACAATAGCGAAACCATTTTCAACAGACTATATCCGACCACATTTATTAATTTTCGTATTAAGTACACACGCGAAAATGTATCAAAGGTTTCGTGAAATTCGAGACGACATGATAGGTGAATGATTGTAAACCTCGTGATGCGTTGAGTCGCCTCGGTGTCAACACATCACATTTGAGTGAGAGTTAATTCAACTCAATGTTGGAGCGTAGGGTGAGACAGGAGCACCCCTTCGACCTACAAACAGAAGCTGGACATAGAAACTGAATCCTTGCTTGTAAAATGTAATAAGTGCTTTTCGTCACGATATAATCGCATTTCAACTCGCCGCTCTATGTTTTTTTTTACTGCTGACCGAAATAAAATTTATGGCTGGAATGAAGTATAGTGCTGTCTTCAATCATTCCGATGCGCACGTACTTAAGCCGCTGGATTGTTTCACGCTTCGGGAACTAGAGTAAAGTACAAATTTGGTTCGAAGTTTGAAATGAGCTGTTAGAAACCCAATAGTTAAAGTAAATAAAGCTATAATAGCTCAATAAATGTAAAATCGCAACTTATTGAATTACTTTCAGTGCCTACCAACCAGATCAGAAAGAAATGGAATTATTTCAACATGGAGATGGAGGCGATGAAATGGTAAAACCTTTGACAAAATTAACATCGAACATACAAACAGGAGTTACGCATGGAAGCTCTCTATCCGTCACATATCCAACAAATTCACCAACCTACCGATACGTCTTTTAAGCATTACATCACCATCTGTTGTCCACGATAAGCGATTGCACTTGGATTGGCGAAACCCTACGGTCAAGGATTAAGATATCATATAATTTGACATATTGTTATGCCGCAAAATCTTGCTTGCGAATATATAAGAAGGGAAATTTGAGGCAAGGAAGCGGAAAGGGGGTATGAACTTTCAACCCATGATCACCGATAAAAAGGAGTCAATTTGAATTATTGAATCATTTCCCACGCCTAGTGAATAAACCGTAATTTCAGTTCTGGAGCGGAAAGGCGAAGGCATCCAAATGGGTAGGTGAATAAGAAAGCGATCGCACGTGCCACAAGTAGAAAGAGGGAGGAGATTCCTTCCAATCATGGAACAGAAAAAAAGGTGAGATGCAGCGACGTTCCACAAAGCGGAATGAATGAATCAAGAATGAACGAATAAGTCATTTTGTGTGTTACAGGCAGAGAGAAGGAAAGAAGCAAGTGGACTCACCACACCCTTTTCGCCCTGCCCACCGCTACTGTAGGTGACAGCGAGGGTGGAAGAACAGGTCTCTGCGTACCACGGGATCGTCCCATGCTCAGAGGCCGAGCTCACCCCCAGCGTATATATGCTGTTCGTGTAGCCGTCGCAATTGCAATTGTCGTCGTACTTTCCGCCATTCCCACTCGCCCACACAAATATAGAGCCAAGGCCGCCCCGACCCTGGTGATAAAATGGAGAGGTAAATAAAATAGATTACTTTTGCCAAACTACTATCAAGTGTCAGTTTGGGCGGTCGAGAAAGATGAATTGAAACTGCCAAAGATTATCTTGTGTTGTGGCTTTATTGTCTCATACGATCATTAATGCACTCAATACCAGCGTCACATATATGTGACGCAGGAACTATGGTGGCTGAGTCTACGCGTCACAAATACAAGACTTGTGTTCTTTGTCAGTTTATGATAGATCTGTTGCAACAACCCGTATCGTGAATGAATTGGATAGGTAGAATGTTCTGAGTTTGAAGATGAAAGGGTTTTAGTTCTCAAACAATCGCTAGGTTAACCGAAAAAATTGGTAACAATTGGTGCCACAGCATAAAAAATAAATAGGCTGCAGTGATCAATTTTCTTCGGAGTTCCTACTAACAAACTCTAATATCACTGAGCATATAAGTTTTTTTTCCGAAATTTGGTATTTACCAAGCACTTTTGCTTACTGCAGCTGGTTCCTTTCCTTAAAGCACCACAAACTTAAGAAAGGGTGCAGATTCAAAGTCTGCGTATCCCCCAAGTGGTGAGTTGAACTTACTTTGAGATTAAGCTGTGGCTTCATCTCCTAAGTAGCGAAAAATTTCAGGCGGCAAATGAAGCAGATCATTAAAAGTGTAAAACGGTCGACTAAAATAGGCACGTAATTCTAGAGTTGACACACTAATTTACGAACACGCATCCTGTTTAGTGATTATCCTGCGAATAATCGTGTTTCTTTTTGCATATCCACTTTTCAGTAGCCAAATAGCATCGCCAATGGACGAGCAACAAACCTTAAAAGCCGATTTCCTTTTAAAACGATACAATGTGGTGGCATAACCTCCTCAATAACGGTTGATTTTAAAGAACGAAGCATTAAGATCAATGTATCCAATCCTCTTTGCGCGACACAGAGTTCAAGAATTGATCCTCCCTCGATATTTCACCTTAACTATCCTCGGTTCTTGGCTACTATCGGGGCCTACTAACATTGCTTCATGCATACTTCGATCGGTCAAACATTTTGAGAGTTTTTCTGAAATCCCGAAAAATCTGAAATATTCTGTCGCATTGTAACCATTGTAGCACAGGAAGCAGGAAATAAAAATTAGTTAATGAGGATGGCAGTGTTGTGATTAAATTTCACTCTAGTATATGAATATCGCCTTGAAAGTGGGCCATGAGGTGGCCTGGGGTGAGACCAAATTGACGGCTAGTGACGAGCTGAAGGAAGTCATGAATAGCTCAAACTACGCATAACTGAACAGAAAAGATATTCAATAATTGCTCAAATTTGTGTTCCCTCTTTTTGAAAGCGAGTTTCTGTTTGAAAGAAAGAAAGAAAGCGTATGAAACTTTCAATAACTTGTAGTGTTAAAAAATGTGGCGATAGGTTTTACTACTGATTTCCATTAATAGCCGTAGCTAAAATAGGTCAACGCTTCTTACTGGACACTTTAAATTGGAAAAAGAAATCAAATCAATTCGGTGGATGAGTAAGAATTAAACCTATAGATGACAACAAGCATAGAATTAAGTCAGGCAGTAAAGTTCAACGTTTGTATCGAATCCACCAGGAGGGGGGAGCACAGTTAAACCCTTCCACATACAGGTATACTGTCAGACCATATTTTTCTAGCACAATTGAACAAAAAAGGACGTAGAAGGGAGTCAAGAATTATCCGATTTAGCTTATAGGAATTATACCGATATGCCGCTCTTTACTGGAATACTAATAAGCTTCAAAATGCCAACTACTATAATCTGGAACTTAATTGGTTCTAGTTCACTAGGCCAGAACATGTCACTACCATGGTCTTTCCATTTGTCATTCGTGAAATCGATAAAGAAATTGCTGGAACACCTTCATCAAAAACTATGCGTGAACTAGCAGTAGTGAGGTTTAACTTACACTGACCTCCCACTAACAACGGAGCATTTCAAAAAGATAAGATGGCTAAGAAGCCAGATAAATGATTAGGTTTCGAACAAACATCTGAGGGTAAACCTTCTTAAAAGTCGTCGTCTTTAATGTCACCATATAGCTACGAAGCATATCAACGCAGCATTGTTGCCGGTAGCAAAATGTGTTTAGCAAGCCTTTGACAAAAAATGAAATGTGAAAACATAGCCTTACACCAAAGAAATCGGTAGTATTTGTTATACGGTGGGCGATTGCTACACAGTCTACCAAATGTAATGATTAGATAGCGAGCCCATAGATAAGTCCTGTGGACGTAGCTGTTCAAAATGAAAACAAAAACTGAAATCGGAAAATTTATTCACCACTCACCCAGTCAACTACTATATTTCCTAGGCGATAACGCCACTTTTTGCCAACTGTTAACGCCTCTCATGTTTTAATCCTCCCAAGTAGTTCCCTTAAACCTCTTCGCAACCATCTGTGCAAAAAAGCCTCTCTTAAAGCGATTCAGATACGTGGATAAACTTCAGTAATGAGCTACAGAGCATAAGGAATGCGAATTAAAAGTTGACGTGAACTACCCATTCGAGCTAGCTAAATGGATGGATGAACGAAAGAAATAGCTTTTAGCCATGCTAAGGACCTTCAAGATGCCATTGCGAAAGGCGATCCGCGCGAGTTTGCCGGGTCCATCGACAGTGCGTCCATCATCTTCGGGTCCCCAGCTGGCAGAGTACACATCAATGTGTTGGAAGTTATGGCCCAGCGATCGCGATTCCATGGCGTCGGTCACATCGCCGTCGAGCATCCGCACACCACCAATGCGCGCTTTAAAGGCGATGCCCAGCCCGCATATGCTGTTGTTTGCCGCCGCTGCCACTTCTCCTGCACAACGTGTTCCGTGGCGGCTGAAGGTGAAAGTAAACAAGCTTTTTGCTGAGGTATTTCCTCCTTCCATAGACTTCCTAAATAATCCTCCAGCGGCCCACCTACTAGATATGATATTAGGAGGACCAAGTGTGACTTCAGTGAAATAGACTAGTAAGGGGATAGTTGGAGTGGAAGGAGAACAACCAGGAACACCAAGGGAAGAGACAAAGTTATGTAATGGAATGGCTGATACTTACAACTTCTAAATAGAGTGGGGAACATTGCAGTTAAGGTATAAAATGAAACTACCTTCAAGCTGTTTAACCGAAACACCATTGAAATTGCCAGTATCGGGAATGACAGCCTTTTCCTTGGTGCGAATTTACCTCATCATCTTCGTTCCCGACCCGTAAGGGGGGTGTGTATGAAACCCGACCACCATAGTGACGCACAAGCGTAAAACTACGAGGTTCAAGGTCTATGCAGCACGTTCATGTCTGCCTTAATTGTACATAACATTTCACAGACATGCCAGTTAACCGCATTCAGACTACACCAGTCATGTACATATTTAATCGTGTCATCGCTCGGCCCACCAAAAAAGTGGTCTAGACTCCTGGACCTTCTGTGAGGGTAGTTCGAGCACTAAAATAGATCCTCTATAATAACTGGAAAAAGAATATATGTCAACTTATTGTGCAGTCGGAAAAATTGCTAATGACAACCCTTTGCTACTGACTTGTAATAATGGTTGCGTTTATTTTTACAGCCCGAAATATTGCATCCCGGTGTTTATCTGCTAAAGTGGGGAGCAATTAGTTAATGCTATTTCAAGACATCATTTTTGAATTCTTGAAGGTTGAAATTTGCAATTACGCCTCACAAGACATTGACTATTTCCGGTTGATAAGGTGTGTAAATAGCTTTCTCCTGTGAATACAAATCTGACCAGTTTGCATATTAAACTACAAAAAACTCTTTCAATTTCATTTCTTGAGAAGATTTATTTTCTTATTCCTACCCACAGCGTTCAATTGTCAAATGCCACTTTGCGAGCAAAACGAAATAAATGATTTTATAGGATTAGGGAGTATGCAAGTTTGTTCCAGAGACCATTGTACATATTTGCAACTTCTCTTCAGACTATTTACGTCAACAAGGCAAATAGTGATTTTTATATGCCGCTTTGCAAATATCAGAATGAAGTGTAAAGCACTGTTGAGGTACTTTAAATGTCATTTTCAAACTGCTATTTTGTTCCAAAACTCTCTAAATTCATCCTTATTTAAAGCTAAGTATGCAACACATCGAATATCAAATTTCCAGATAGAGTGGGAAAATGACTATCTTCCAGATTAATAAAGAGCATAGTTGTTTTTCGCTGTACAAGACATTCTTATCCTAAATTGTAGTACTTCCTAGCTGATCACATTTTTGTTGGGTAAGCAATATATCTACATTACATTTTATAGCTTAAAAAGCATTGCATTATCTATTGAGAGGAAACACCTAGATAGTGGCTTAAAGGTCTTGGAGGTAAGGGAGTGTACTAGTAATGTATAGCCTAGACTTTTGTGGACTGATACTCCCGGTGCGAGGTAAATGGCCACCATGACATTGAGCATGCAATGCATCCTTCAGGTCAGTCGTTTCGTCTTATATTTGTGAGGTCACCTGAAATGTTCGCAGGAAGGTAACTGAAAATTCTCACAAATCTATTCATTCATGCATTCACGTATTAGTGTCTACATGAAATGGAATCTAGATGTCACGCTACGCCGTGACGACGCCATGGTCGAAAAAAATAAACGGACGGCAACAAACCCGGAAACACGTGTGTCAACAGCGGTACTTTAAGTTGGACGCCTATTTTAGCCTATTACCTGCCAAAAATACATAGTTCAGACGGAGAAGCATAAGCAGGTGTTTAGTAAATCGAAGCATATTTCATTTTTGGATCGCCACAAGGGTACTTTGGAAATGGCACTCTTTCCAACGAAAGCCTCTTCTTGGGCTTCAACGCAATTATGCTTTAATATTTTGTACGGGTGGAAATGGACGGTAAAAAGCCAAAAGTGGCTGGAACAGACATACAAAGTTCACTGAGGATACCCGTACTTCTTTCATTCAGTACTGCTTCAACCTATTATGCCCCACATGGAGGTCAGCGGCTGTAGGCTAAATGTGTCAAGTGAGCGGGACTTTGATAAGCTTGTTGAACTTCAGGAATGGGAAAAATAATTATCTTGGAAAAAGGTTCGCATTTCTGAAGCAACACAAAAGTTCATAGTGCAAATATTTAGAACTTCCGGAACAGGTGACTAAATAAGTGCCGAAAATTTCAGTAGTACATTAAGTGGGATAAATTTTTGGAACCGACTCACTGCCAAGTAGCTAACCTCCCAATCCAGGAGAAATGGCATTTCTAATCTTCCTGAATGAAATGTGATTTAAGGAATATGAGAACAGAAAAGTGTAGCTACACCTTAAAGTTGTTATTTCGAAAAGCCTGTTTTAAATCTAAGAAAGACCAATGCTAATTAGAATTGTATTAAAATTTGAGGCCTTTCCTTCTGAGCCCAGATTTCTCACTCGTTTAATAATGTAAAGTTACGCTTTTCCAATTGGGGGGGGGGTTCAAGAATTCCATACACATAGTTAGCATTCAAACAAAGAAAAACGGCTATTTCAGGAGTTATTTTATTGCTCAGTAAAGTAAAACAGATTCCACTATTGTTCAGCTAGAGGCACTCGTCTTAGCGGGAGAGATCGTGATACCCATGACCATTCAAACCCTGCCACTAATTGGACCTCACCGAACTACAACGAAAAGATGGATAGAAATTGCAATCTAAAGTGCAAATCCCGCCCCACTTTCGACACAATAAAGTAGGGCAGAAGCGTGCATTAAAAGTTTGCCGACACGAGGCGGGACATGGCAGAGATAGCCTCATAGAGGCCAGTTTTGCGTATTTGGGGTCATCGGGTGAGGCTGAAAATGTCATTCTTCCCAATACGCCCGTGTTCCTCGAACGCAATAAAATGCATATATACATATATATGCATTCGGATCATAAAAAGTGGAAGATGTGTCGGGGGGGGTGTGACATGAATTAATATGTCATAAAAGTGGTCAAGTTGGACGTGCACTATGCGGACACGATGGTGGAATCGATATCCACATTCTGAAACATTTCCAACAAGGCAATTTAATTGCCTGCCATGTATCCTATTAAGTCAAAACCCGGTCGAACTTGTTTCCTTTAAATAGAGTTACTGCACCGGGGCTTAGAAGCAATGTATCAAAAGTGATTTCCAATGCCAACCTTTCAGAAATCGAAGTTTGAATTATCGCCTCATTCTCTTGGCTAAAAATGGGAAAAAATAAGCGGATAAAGGCTGGTACCTTCAACTTTAGTTTAGAAAGTATGCTTCTGGAGATTTAAGAACAAATTGTAATTGTCTCACGCGATTAATATCTAACAGAGAAGCCAAAGTGAAAAGTAGGACAGATAATTAAGCTCTGTTTGAAATCTGTAATGGTTGTCTCAACGGAAATACCTTGTGATTAACTACTAATCGGATATTTTGGGTCCATAAAATTATTTGGCAAACTTCAAGAATGAGCAGCATCAACTCCGGCGTAACAAGCTTTGCCGGTAAAAACGGTTATTCTACTACACAACAAAACCAACATTACATTTCTTCCCAACCTCTGTTGATCGGAGTAAACATCGGTCCTTTGAGAGTAAAGGCCTCTATGAATTCGGCTCTCCATAAAAAGTATCATTAAAGTGCAGATTGGGCACGAATGACGAGAACATACAAGTAGTCCCAAGAGGAATAGGGACAACAAGCCCTTCCCACGGCCTATATTAGCAAAAATCTATATACCTACGATTTCATCGGTTGATAAGGGCTAATTCAAGGCAGAAAGAGGTCAGGTTAAGGTCGAGGGAACACGTATAACCATGTTCAGACTACAGTAATTATGGCAGAGGCACGATATCATCCAGCTAGAAATGACCAATCACTCACTTGATGTTCCGAAAATCGCGCTCCACATAACGCGGGTCAGGATTCTCGTCGTTGCTGTTGACGTCGAACGAGGCGTGCCTGTCCTAGAAAAGGCGAAAATTTGACAGGTCACCCTACTTTTTATTTCCGTGATCTCGGCGAGTGGGATGTTACGAATGCTAGGGAGTACCTTGCCGTTACGGATCACGGCAGATATCGTGATGACACCGCATAAACAGTGTAGCGCCACTCAGTGCCGAGTCAGGCAAAGCCCTGTGCGTGAATATTCCCACTTGGCAAGCTTGTTCGATGGAACTTATTCCCCTTTTTCAGTCATCAAAATTACCGGTGTTTCACTTTTACAAGCTTATTGTATCCAATGCAAAATGAATGGGTACATCATTCTTGCAGTGCCTACTAGAAAATTACTAACTCAAGAAAGTATAGCCTAGAAGACATTCATGCCCAGTTGTCTACATTCATGCAGCTCAAACTATTTGGAAAATTAAACATTTTGGTTAGAAAAGCGCTAAGTTTTTAGGGTTTACACGACTACCTTAAAACGTTTTCATCAGCGGCGTCTTGAAAAAGCATTCTCTCCTTAATAATAATCGTGCACTATCGTTTGGTGAGTCACTTTAGGCAGCTTTTCATTTTATTGACGTCTTTCATAAAATATGCAGCTAGCTTTTCCTTAAATCCACTCGTTCATATCTTCCCTTCAACTCACATTGCGCTTTGGCTCAAAAGAGTGAGAATGAACCTCAGCTTTCCCCAAACATCCGACAGAATACGTTTATATGACTATTAACCACGGAAAAGGTTATAAGAAGCCCGAAAGAGAATGCATGATGGCAAGACTACTCCTTGACATTGGAACTTAATTTCAACTCTCCAACGGCTAAAATTTTATCTAGTTACTTATCAAGTAGACTAAGACAAGAATCCGATAGGGGGGGGGGGGGTGGAAAGAGTGAGAGATTTGCGCAGCAGGGTGACGCATGAACTCGACACCCATGCGAGGTCATATTCTCGCCTAGGCCTTATAACGACCCTAGGGTTTCAAAGTACCAAAGGAAGGCAACTACAGTAATCACTTCGTTTTGTACTCGTATGTCAATTTAATCAATCATCATCGAAAAGGTGAGAAGAGCTGTTGGGAGGAAGACGACTTCTGAACAACAGAGCACGTAAATTGTAGCATGTCTTAGGCTCATAATAACAGACTCAGCGTAGAGTACTTCCAAGGCAAACCAGTTAGCACAAGTGTAAGCACAAACGAGAAAAAGTGAAGCTGTGTGAGCATATTCCCTTGATTTTCACTAAAGTTATAAAAGAACTATTGTGCTCAAAATATATGAGGAGGAATTTATTTGCCCAGCATGTCGTTCTTACCCCTACTCTCTCTCCACCACTGGGTCATTCCGTCTGAGGAGACTCGTAAGTCACAAAACTACTGAAAAAAGTACGCGTGTAGACTCACTCAATAGTTCCCGACTCTTTGTGGGCCGTATCATTAGCCATAAAGACATCTTTTGGACTAAAAGCTTTCAAATTACCAAGGGACATCTCAGACTGGTGCGCATTTCCAGACAAATTACAAATCACACCCGTCCATTGTAATGGGGCTTCTACCACAGAAATCTGAGGTGCAGGGTACACAAAACTATCGTGCGACCCAAATTTTTAAAATACGCACTTGTCTAGAAATGTGTGATACTGCGAAGAAACGAGAGGCGATAAAAATTCCTGTTGCGACCCGTGAATATGAGAAGTTTATGCTAGCCTAAAGCTATTGTGATGGAGGAGACAGGAAGGAAGGACGATTTTTGAAACGCTAATTCATAGGAACAGTATTTGGTGGCATGGTGTTCCGATGACGGCATGTGTTAACGGCCAGACAGCTCCCTGTGTATCTGTAAATTATTCATTGCATTGCATTTACATGGAGGACTCAGGCGCCAAACTATCCCCTTGTTATAGTGGCACGCCGGAGTCTGCCTTCCCACCTCTCTTGCTCATGCATTTGTAAACTGCTTCGTAGATTTCTAAAACTATGCGCAGTAGGACTCAAATTGTTGTCTCAATCATGTTTTCATAGAAAAATGACAGAACAAAGCACGCATTCGAGAAAAGCCCTGATGTACGGGAGCAGCCAATTCGGCATCAAAATTCGGAGGCGTTTCTCATCAAAGTCCAAATTTAGCGAGTAAATGATCCCCTTTTTAATACTTTGACTACCCGCTGAACAGACAACCGAAATGAAAAATACGCGAGCGAGCACAACACTTTAAACTCCCACGAGATTTCACCCGCGGTGTTAGGAGGGGGATGAGGAGCGATTGCGACATTTGAGACAAAGGTGGACGTCTGTGTTTGCCTGGTGGAGTTAGATGGGGGCCAGTACCATAACGCCGTGTGGACTTTAGGAAAGGCACTAAAACGCAGTTGCAGGAGGGAAATTTTCGCTCCCTAGTTGATCATTATGGTAAGATAGCAGAACGATAGTCATAATAATTATACACTTTCAGTCCTTCTCACTACGACTTACATGCTGGTAAAAAGTCATCCAAGCTATCCTCCTCCATATTTGGAATCAAACAACTTCCAAAATCAGACTCTACAACATGGTCCATTGAATGTTCCATGCAAAATCACTTTCAAGGTGTCTATCCGACGCGGGTATACGGTATTCACTTTTAGGAAACAAAGTCTTGAACCGCAACCCGAAATGCGCCGGTGAAGTCGCCTCCTGCTAGTACGCAGTAAATCCATTGTCGACATGGTTAAGCGGAAGACGTAATAGGGAGAGAGATTATGAACAACTGAATGGGAAAAGATATTTAACAAGACTATTAACTTATTTGGGAGATTAGTCCACAATTGGACGTGCGCGCGTACACACACAGCAATTTGGTAAATCATTGACGAAGGCGATGATCTGTTAATCTTTTAATCCTTCAAACACCCACGTGATGAGTGACTACACCCACCGGTTTTGGGGTAAAATCGTGTCAAGAAATTCCCTGAAAGAGACCAACGCAGCATATAGCAAAGCCAAAAGCGGATCAAGTCCTTAGCCCAAATTAGGTAAAGACGGTGGACATGAAAAAGTGACAATACTTTCTTACACCAACCGGTACAAATATTGCTTTACATAAACAATTTCGGACGAAATTTTTATTCTTCTTGTCCCGTTGTAAACTAATCGAATGACCTTTTTGTCTTAATCAGGATTTCAGTAAAAGAATATTCCAAAAGAGATGACAATTCCTAAGAAATGTTCAGCTGGAGTGGTGACACGGACAGAGGGAGCAACTCCGGTTCCCAACATTCAAAGCAATCTAAAGCTCCCATCCTAATGACTAGGAAATGCTTAAATCCATTAATGTTTCCCCACAATAAATAACAATTTTATTACCCTGCACCTTTCTGGGGAAAGTTTTTGCCGAAGAATTTACCAAAAGGGCATTAAGGAAGTAGTTTGTATGGTTTAAACCAAACAATCTCTACTAGTCTGAGCCTCAGTGTATCGAAGAAACCATTACCACTCAATGTTTTCCCAGCATTTCTAATTAAATCGGTAGCTGTAAAGGAATGATAGCATCCTTTCATATTTTATTGTGCAGACCTTGACACCGATGGTTCATTGGTGGCATGGAACTTAACCTTTCTGCACATCTACAATAAAGTTACTTCCAGGCTAGCACATCTTGTAACGACTTTAGAAGTGACTGGCAGCGTCCTATAGCCACAATTTTAAACGGCCAGACACGGGAAGATTTAACTCATTAAAAGTCAACTCTTCCATAGTCCCAGCCGTGCTTCAAGGAGCACAGCAAAAGTACGAGTGAGTAGGAAAACAGGAAACGGACAGAGGGAGGAACTCACATAGTTAGGTTTGAGATCGGGATGGTCAGTTTCGAGTCCGTCGTCGAGAATGGTCACCACAATACCCTGGCCGGCGTAGCCCCGTGCCCACACAGAGCGGACGTTCATGTCGATGCCGCCCGGTCCGCCCCGATTCTTAATAGCAAAACAACAAATGCCAAATTTCAGCAGCTCGTGTTATCGTTTACCTGGGCAACGATCTCGGTTTTAGCCCACAGAAATGCTTCTTGCATTGCGCAAAATCGGGCTACTACAGGAGTAGTGAGCTATTAAAATTAAGGCAACAAAAGCACACCTCCGTTACAATTTGATACACCCAATTCTGTAAATAGACCAACCTGTGCACGGGCACAGTTTATGGTGGCAATAAAGCCAAAGGTAACGGTCAGCTCATTCGTAAAAGCGTAAATTGATTGAGATAAAGTAGGCAACAGTTGAAGCTTAGAAATAAGTGGCCATTATTTATTTCTCAAAGCAAACGTGGCCAGTGCTCAAAAGTATTGCACCCATAAAACCCTAGTGAAAATAACATGTGGAAATTTCTTCACTTTTTTCGATATTTGATTACTTAGAAAAACCACTTCCACTTGACTAGTGCAAAAAAACTCAATGGCTCAGTTTACTCGATTCTCATTTTTAATAAAGCCGCATTTCATTTGAATTTCTAACATCGAGCAGCTAATTTACCGTTAATTAAAGGGCAAGTAAACACCAACATCCTTATCAAAGGCTGAATCTACGGACGAAACTTCAAATGTTATGGGAAGGACAGTCCTGAAGCACTAAAAGGCTTACACTTTCACCCGGCCTTAAGAACAAAGTAATTTACAAACCTTGTGCATATATTCTAATTTTGTTTACATAGGAAAAAAGGATGAAATTCGAGCCAGAATCAAATCACGGTAATGTGAACAGGTCCTTCACGAGGTCACTAAGCTTGGAATTCCCAATTAATTTAAGCTGTAAATTTCGGGGTTAATGCTTCCAGTCCATAAAACAATTATCGACAGCAATTGTTATTCACTAAATTACTCCCAATAAGTCAGCAATCACTTAAATCGGAAGCATACATTGCATACTCAATGGGCTAGCAAACGAGTGCGACGCTCGACCGAAAGCGTCCCATCCCCCAAACTGCGTAGATAAGACACCACCCACCCACCCACCCACCCACCCACACACCCACCCACCCACCCACCCACCTATTAAAGTGCACTTCTCATGAAGGCAACAGAGAGGCCAGGAAGGCGTTTCTTACCGTTAATGAGACTCGTTTGACCATAATCAAGGCATCGGAGCGTGTACTCCACCACTTTGTGAGCAGAAATGCGCAGGCTCCCCCACTAGAAGGGGAAGGTGTGACTTGCTAATCAATCAAATCTGAGAGGGTTTCCGCCTTTAAATGTTCCCCAGCCTAGGCAGAGGTCATTTGCTGAATGGACGCTCCGTTTAGGGTGCAAAAAAAAACGCCAAAAAGGCGTGTCAAGGGGAAGGAAATTAGGTATCCCAATGAAAAAATAGCAAAACAGAGAGAGAGTGGGTAAGATCACACCGTGGCTCAAAAACTTGTAAAAACAGGAAAGGGAATTTCATCCGTCGGACTTCTTTTCGACTAATTGAAAAAATCCTTTCATTTAATCAAAAAACATCAGTCGCGGAAACACGACTGAAACAAACGAATTGCCCGAAAAGCAGAAAATTGGCATTAAAGCACGCTAGCTCAAAGCCTAGAACTTACGGCACAGCTTTGGGGAATGAGTAAACGGAATACACTGACAAATATTTTGTAGAAATGGTTCTTTTAAACCATAGTTAAGCAATACAGCGCTGTTTGTAATATTTTTTAGAAGAGGCAGAAATTCCCTTCCCCATGATAAGTAGATTATTTGACAAAGTTGATTAGCTGAAAAAAAAGTGTCGATACGGTGGAAACAATTTTCTCCAAGTCAAGGCAGACCACGAAACGGAAAAAAACGAACAAACACTACTCCCGTAACTGCATAGCTCAGGTAAAACACTTCAAGTGCCTTTTTGATCATGTTGATGGGATCAAATTCGCAGTCAAAACTGACTTCGCAACATTTTACCAGTGTAGAAGTAACCTTATCTTCTACTGAGTTTGCATGAATGCAACTTTGATAACTAAGTTAGAACACTTTTACAGCAATAAAGTTGTCATCCTCACTTCCAATCTACAGTCCTCCCATCAACCTCATCCGCAAATTAGTTGAGGACATCGATTACTCTTCGACAATGCTGATTGACTACCCATGCCTAATTGAGACCCCCAACTTCGGTACAGTTATTAATCGATGGCCCAATCGATAACCAGGTGTTCTGATGGAGTTTGGTGAGAAAATAATTTATGACTATGGCCTCAATCACAATAATGGTATGGCAAACTTCACACTATCGAGGACTGTTTTTAGGATTAAATGGGTGCAGGGGCATTTGTGCTACTTTCATTGACATCTCTCAGCGATTCAAACGTTGTTGTCTACCAGGGTTTCCTTTACCTCAACTTACGAGACCACGCACTGCACCACAAAAGAATCCTCTCTTTTCCATAAAAAAAGTACAGAAAAGATGCATATGATCCTCTTACTCCGAATGGATTTTGATCAGTGTCAAAAAAGGATTTATAACCTATTCTAAAGGTTAGTGTTCAAATCATGACATGCATAAGACCATTCCAGAAAAATGCTGGTCACAGATTCTCGGGAGGAGTAGGAGGGGAGCCGAGGAGACACTTTAACCCAGACATCGATGTACCTCAGACACGGGAAGAAGGCGAAAAAAGAAGTGACAAAGGGTGGGTGGTGCGTCTGTGTGCGTGGATGTGCCCACACCACTGGGAGTGAGTCACTGCGTAAAACTCAAATTCAGACAACGAAGGGAGAGATGACGAACATGCGGTAAGGTGAAGGTGCGTACGTGCGCGCGCGCGCGCCAGTTAGTATCGCCTCTCCAACAGAAGTACACACCCATTGTGGACATGCACTTTTAGTTAGGTCATTTCAACATACATCATTACACGGCCCACAAACGTCAAAAGGTAAGCAAATGGAAGAGGTTTTGCTCCAACTCCCTCTCAACCGCACGGAAAAGAAAATTACAGAATAACCTACCAGATACCACATCCGAGGCCAGCTGGGATCGTTCGGTGGAGGTTGGTGGTAAACATCGCGTTTAACTCGAACTTTCGCCACTTGTTGCTCCGCCCATCGAACCTGCGAACAAAAAACAGCGACACTTACCATTACATCTCGACCATCTCACTGACCAGTACGCATGGATGGAGCAGTCTTAGTATCCATAGTGCATCTCATTAATATGAGTTGGGATGGTAATGAGTAACTAAGTGAGCGGGGGACAAAACACCGCCTACTTACTTAAAGGCCGTGAAAACTTCTTTCCCGTGGTGATAAAAATGGACAGGACTAAATATCCACCGTAAATGTCACAGATTCCAAACTAAGTTTGTTAGTAGCAGGTAAGTGCAGTCAACTTGGGGGATAGTAAAATGGCATTTGCGATATTAAATATGAAGTGGAGACCATGCTTTTATGTTTAGTCAAAGATTTCGGTGAATTGTCATCTATTTTGCGAGCAAAATACCGGAAACACACAATCTCTACCTCGATTTCTGCCGAAAATGAAATAACAAAACTAGGATGGACACACAAGTTTCGACGCATCGGATTAGATCCATAAATCACGTCCAAAAAATCTCTGGGAAATGGGGAAGTATTCATGCAAAACCACTAATAAGCAGTTTTAATGCATCTACAAGTGGAACCACATGTGGCGAGTCAATGCGATCACTTCCAGAAGACGTTTGAACGTTGAGCATCGACGATTTTCACAAGACAGGAGCCTCAAAGACGGGCTAATCACTGTTTTCGCCCCAAAAATGGAGATAGAGGACGCTTCCAAACCCTTCCCGCCTCATTTGATGAGGGAGGAAGAGGGATGCCATGTGAATATTTTTTCGGGGTTTTTTTCTACTTCCACTTCTGTGAAAAATCAAAAAGTAGAATCACAATGGATTCCGAAACCCAAGCACAAAACCCAACTAGCTCATTACCATTACTTCCATACTACTAAAGGCTCGGAGCATTACGTACTTTTGAGGGCCAGGAAATTCGAAGAAAACCCCTCAAAAATAAGCAGAATGAATGAAGGGTATTTCAATCTCGCCTTCTGCCATGCAGTGGGAAGGGGACGCGGTCGTCAAGTGTGTCCGTGAGCTGAGTGCTGAGGATATAAAATATCAACCTTGTCCCACATACAAAACAAGTATAACTCCAACGTGCTTAAAGAATGAGACAAAAAAACGTGACTGAATCATTGCTGTCATCTTCCAAAAATCTGCGGGAGAAGATGCATTTGCATGAACCTGGTTGACCAATGCTTCAAAAGAAATTGGATTTTGGGATCATATGGGTCAAATTAACCTCGTCACTTTCAAATTTTTGGAATTCGGGCTTTTTATCGGTTTGCGAGAGGCAATGAATTCCAAAGATTGTCTAACCGATCTTTTGGGAAAAACAAAGAGCCGCTTTACTCTCTTACAACTCCATTCAGTGAAAAGGAGACATACATGCCGAAGTTTCTTTCATTAATACCCAAGAAAAATTCCACAAAATGCTAGAAGTGCAAGAGTCCCCAGATCTGTCTTAGTTGATAGCTTAAAAGCAAGAGAGAAAGAGTGGCGTGCATTATTCAAGACCACTGCGCGTGCGGTTGTCAGAAGTTCAACCAAAACAAACAACCGTTCATCACCCTTTTGTCTTGTATGTGTACCAATTGTCGTGAAATAAAAGCAGTAGAAGGTGAAACTTTGCATGCAACTGTTTACTCGGGTGCTGCGACATAAACAACTTTACAAGTCCGACGGAGTGGATACGAGAGTTAGAGAACCAGACCTTACTGCTTCGTGGTAAAGCAATACAGACCAAAAGGAAACCGGGTGATCATCGGCAGAGTTCGAATCTCACTTTGGCTCGGGGTGGGGTGAAGGCAAGGGGAGGCACATCAAACCCCGTCCAGAAGTACCACTTCCAGAGGCAAGTGGAAGGGCTGTTTACGATCGACAATCCGACCACATCCTGGCGGCAAGCATGTAGAATTGGGCATCAAAGTTGCACGACACGGTCATGTTTTTTTTTGTGTATGTTTAGGAGAGTGAACATGCCTCCCTGATGCTGCCAAATGTGGTGTAAACAAGCACCTAGGAGAATGATATTGGCAATGTGAACCACTTTACTACACAAGAGTGGTATTGCCGTTTTAGGTGAATACATCAACCCTCTCTATCTCACGCCTTGGTCTAAACTACCAACGGTCGTACAACATTGAAGTGAAAAGGAGGAAGGAATGCAAAAGGCGTATAAAAATAGGCCAATTTTGCTTTTAAGTAGAAATTCTCAGGAAAAGCAAATAGCACATGAATTCTTACAACGAATTTCACGAATAGGACGAAATTGTTCTCGTGGTGATGAAAAATTGCTTATGATCATTGCTATTGGTTTGACAGCCGAAGTAGGAGAGTGACCACATGATACGCTGAGGACAACGCCCAAGAGAAAAGGGACTATGCAACAGAATAATGGCTCCGCTCCAGGTGTGAATAACTGGGTGTACGAGCTCTCAACGATTTTGTGCGGCGCTGCGCCACCAATCCCACAGTCCTCCATGAGCCAAATAATAAGACTACTTCCGGACTGCCATACCTTCCACAACCTGAGACAACTCAGGTACTACAATTTCATCACCTACTCCCATTCGGGGGAGTCAACACTGCCGCCGCGAATGTGTAGTGAGTGGTAATGCGGAAAAAATGATATCAACATGATGGGTAATGCCTAATAAACTTCACTTTCCTTTATCGGCTCATAAGTGAGCCCATTTGTGGGTGAACTGTCTCCCAAAGAGGGACGCGACTCCTTCTGGCGTCGACATGGGATCCTAAGGATGAGTCAAGACGGCGGCTAGAAGAGTAGCGACATTCATTCTTGAAGCCCGAAAGGGATTCGACATTAGCACCTACCCGAAACGATGAACACTTTTAATCGACCCATATATGAGTGTGGGAAGAGGTCTGCCTTGCAATGGCCTTATCAAGAGCCCACAAAAGTGCCGTTTTACTTTGATTCCAAATCAAGTTGCAAATGGGAGGGGCCATGAAATCCGTTAGTGTTTTGCCACTAAAAATAGTCGAACTTTGCCATTTGATGACATTTACATTTGAAGTCAAACATTCCAGATGGCTTCTGATATCTCTCACACGAATTGCATGTGAATTCATCCCTGGTTTCAGTCGTTGTCATGTTCGGGAAAGTGTGAAAAAAGCGGTATTTTCCATAACAACAGCAATTACTGAGACGAAAGAAAGGTTAATGAGCTTGCAGAGATTAAATGCAGATAGCTTTAGTCGTAAAACCAAACAGCACTAGAGACAGTCGTCAACAACGGGTAGCTGCGATACCGATAGGGTTTAAAAATAAATAGCAGATTCACTGTTACCAAATTTGTGTGGAGCATAGACAAGTGTCACGTTTCCAAGCCCCTTCAATCACTTCAACACAAAAATAAGTTACCATTTTGTAGTGTATTAGAACATGACCGTTTAATTAAACGTCGGAAAATATGAATAAGGAGGAGGCAAACAGATTGTGAAGGTTTGGAGAAAGAAACTTCCGAGAAAGAATTGCTAGCTTTCATCTGATTACAATAGCCAGAGATACACAAAACAAACGGGGAATACATTAACCCCTAGGTTGAAGAGAGATGTTTTGGTGGAGCATGATGCTCTTTTGGTAAATCGGTTAGTAAATGGAAGATTTTTGTCGGCAATTGCGGAAGCACTCGACCGCAAACAACTTAACTCTATTGTAGCAGACAGTACAAGCTTCCTTTAAGTCCTCTCGCGCCCTTTGTGCAAATAATACGACAACTTGTCTGATTACTAACCCGAAAATAGGCGACAATACCTCCAATCGTCATAATTGACGAGGTGGAGAAAAGAAAGGGAGAAAAAAGTATGGATCATTTTTTAATCCACCTCTTTGTATCCCACTTAAAATTACTGAGATGGATGCAGAGACTTGGGAGATTAACTGTCCACCGGGAAGTGCGAAAAAGCTTCAAGCAGGAAAAACGTAAGTTGGGCCAATTTCCATGATTACTTTATTATTAAGTAAGAGGTAAACCCTCCGAGATTTGTTGATCACAACCCTAAAACGAGAACGGGATATCCATGTTTAGTGGAATCGGAAAAACGCATGCTTAAGACCTTATAAAAATAAACACGGAAACGTAGGCTCCGTTCCGTTCTCACAAATAGTAAAGCACGCTCAAAAGCATCATTATGTGGAAGCTAGTAATATGAGAATCACTTAAAACCTGAACCCCTTCAAACGTCAGTGACATTAATGGACTGAAGGATGGCGTTTTTCCCCTAGTTATTTGTTGTTATCAATGTGTAGCATTACTTCCTGTCAAATTGTATTTCATTAAGCATATTGCATTCATATTTCAAATTAAAACAACAAGGCTCTAAGAATTTCAAAATCCAGCTTAACCTTCTATTGTAAGGAGACATCGTTCTTAGGATTCCAAAAGTTGTATTATATGGGAATTACGTGTGGAAGTAATGATATTCCGAAAATAGATACTCCGAGACCCGAACAAATGGTCGTTACCATGGTTTTTGTATCCCAAAAAAATCGATTGAAATCGTAACACAGTCAAGCAAAAATTGTGGGATAGAAGGGGCAAAAACCCAAGACCCAAATATCAAGGAGCCGAATTTCTAAGTGGCAAATCAAACCAACTGAAACTCGTGGTTGATAAAGTTAGAATTTTCTCTCCATTTATTCTTCCATTTACCAAGATTAAGTCACGCTCATCGTAAATACAAGACCTAGCAGCGAATTTGCTAGATGCTAGAAGTATTAGGTAAGACTGAACATATAAACGAAAACACTTCAGATTTGGAGGATAAAATGATGCAATAGAAGAGTGAGATTGACCGTCGTTCTAGTTTTTCGACATCCGCGTAGAGTTGAAATGGCTTACAAGAAACAGATGAAGTATGCCGGTTGCAGTGGGTAACCTAACCCATCAAATCGAGTCGAATACACCAAACTCCGACAGCAAATCCCCAGCTTTTACTAGTGATTAATGGTAATGGGCACGTGTTTCATCTCAACGACAAATGATTCAGGTAAAATTAAGTTAAAATCTATACACACATATTTAGACACTATTTTTTGGCGTAAAAATTAACCAAACAAAATGTCATGGGAATTGAAGTCGTAGAAACAGAAAGAGCGCTAGGACAAGGATATCCTAACACGATTTGTCAATGTATAGTGTGATTGGGTGCAGGGGAGGGGATGGATTGATGGCAACGGCAGTCGATTGCTGGGGTCAGGGGTCCCCTGTGGAGTAAAGGGGAGGTGAAATCGAAGGGCTAAATCCCAAGATGATCATTTATAGTGCGGAACAATTACAAGGTGTTTACTTTCAGCTAACAGTAGATCCTATCAGGCACAACACTGAAGGTAACTGGGAATTTACAACAATTTGTAAAGATCAAAAGGAAAGTAAAACCCGAAACTCGGCTGCAAATCCCACCCCAGATCAATTTGGTAGTTGGCTTTTATATGTCAGCGGAGAAAGTGTAAAGCTAATGAGGTGTGTTTTCCAAAGGAAAGAAAATATCAACCCTTAAATTAGCATAGGCTCACGACTACATAATTTGAAGAAATAGAGCAACACTTCTGCCCCCTTCAATACGAATATCAAATAATTCCAACTCTGCAGTGCTCCTCGAAAGCATCATGATAATATTGATGGAAAACGTGAAGAAGTCCACGGGAAGGTAACGATATTGGAAAATTTAGGTGATTGCGACAAGGACGCATTTCGAACAAGATCAAAGGAATGCTATCACAGCCACTGTCATCACTGAAGTCGCCATCGAAACTGTTCAGTAGTTGCGAATGCAGGATGAAAGAGAAGGCAATAGCTGCCCTTATGAGCAGGTGTCAGACGTAGCTGAGTAAGCGAAGGAAGTAGCGCCAAATATCAGAGTGTAAAAAAAGAGCCTATGCAATGGTCTGAGTCTCGATTCTTCAGATATCAAGGATCCACTTATGTCTTAACCTGAGCAGTTAATAGGACTCAAGAAATTCTCAGAGAATGAAAGACTCACATTCGGGTCAAAGTACAGTTGCTTCTGATGGAAAACGTTCTGATGAAGAGAACGCTTTGCTACCCTCCGATGTCGGAAATAGTATATTCCTGGCATAATCTAAAAAAAGTTCATACAGAAATTACGTTTGCTCTCGTGCATGGAAAAAAACCATTATTATCCGTGAACTAAGGGTTTACAAACCCTAATATACAAACGAGCTACTCAAAACGGTCGATTTCCATGTGTAACAAGAATGAATAAAAGGACTGAATTTCAACAAGCAATAGGATAAACCAAATTGCTTAAGTCTGCACAAATAACGAATATAGTAGAACACAGTAAAGTGATTCAGTCTAGATTATAGAATAAAGTTAAATTTGAGCGTGTACTGCAAGATACCCAGCGTCTACAGGTATTCGACCAAAACTTGTCGATCGTCCAGTGCGATGTAAAGACAAAATGAGAAAAGCTCAAAGCTGATAACAGTTGTTACAAAAAAAGCGCATTGGACGGGTAAACCTGGGCAAGGAACGGTGCAATAAGAAGTGCAAGGGTAAAAACAGCTTACTTCACCGAGATAAGTGAATCCGTATTTGATCGCCAAACTCATTGCAACACTTTCGCCGCCATAGACTTGAGCCGCCCAATAGGGTGTAAAGCGTTTATCTGTCTTATGATGTGATACAGACCGATTCTTCATAAATTCATCCAAAGAACGCTGATATTCCTTTGAGACATCAATAGGGGGTAATATTCCAGATGCACTCAGGCCCATCAATGGTAATGCAAGTAGGATTATTATCCCAAGCCACAGAGTAGACAAGAAAAAACAAACTTTTATGGACCTCTCAAGTTCGCCGAAATTGTGGGAAATATAGGAGGGCATGTAGAGACCGACTTGTGTTAAGTACAACCAATATTACACCATGACGACAGCAATAAGAACAAATTAGATGAATCTGGATGGACTCAGCGATTCAGCAAAAACTAATACATCGGGACGATTTACAGTCCCATTAAAAGTTGAACCGAGTGCCGCTGCTACCGCAGGAATACCACGGGAATGGGGCAACCGGCATTCAAATAGACGAGCTGATTATACTGCATTTTCGTTGATGCATTTGAACGCATAACAAAATATGCGTGATTTGATGCATGTCGCATGTTTTGTAGCGCG